TTCGACTTCAATAGCAGTCTATTAGGTGACACCTTGTCAAAAGCCTTACTGAAATCTATGTAGATAACACCTACTGAGTTTCCTTAGCCCAGTGCATTTATCCAGAATTCCCTTGCTATAAGGAGGTTCCTTATACAAGATAGACCCTTTATAAAACCATGTTCTGTGTTTAGCAAGTTATTGGTTTCCATAAATGCCGTTATGGTCCGTTTGATTATTCTTTCCAGTATTTTAATTACAACACTGGTGAGGCTTACGGGTCAGTAATTCGAGGGAACTTGTCGTGGACCTGTTTTACGTATGGGAGTGACGATTGCGTCCTTCCAGTCCATAGGTAACACACCTTGGTCAAGTGAAATTACAGTCAGTGGAGCTGCGATATATTGGGCAATATGTCTCAAGATTTTGGGGTGTAAGTCATCTGGTCCTGTTGACTTCTCCATATTTAGGGTGCTAAGAGCGTTAAGCACATCATTTTGGTCGAAGTCCACGGTGAGCAGGTGGTTTGTTGACTCTTTATTTTGGTCTGTTTCTTTATATAGAGGAGGTTCCTGAGTGAAAACTGCCCCAAAATATTCAGCCATAGCCTCTGCTTTTTCCTGATCTTCCTCTATCATTTCAGATTCACTTCCTACTTTAATTAGGTTGGGAATCCAATGATGCATCCTTGTTCTGTAGTTCATGTACGAGTATATTCTCTTGGGCTGCTTGAGTGCAGTCTGTGCCAGCTGCATTTCATATTTTCTTTAAGCTTCCCGAATTTTCATTATACACTTATTTCTTATCGATCTGTAGCGATCCATCGTACCTTCTGTGTCAAGGCGGATGGCAACGTCCCAGCATTTCTTCTTTTGTCTCAGTAAACGTCGAATATCCCGCCCTATCCAAGGATGTCCGTGCTTCTTTTTCTTTGGGACAGTCCAGGATATGTATGGTTGAGTTGCCCGATTGTATAACTGCTTGAATAGAGTCCATGCCTCTTGTACTGATGCCTTTGAGTCAATTTCCCAGTTTTGAGCCGATGCTGCGGAGTTAATTGCCTGCATATCTGCCTTCCATATATTAGGACGGGCCGGCGCAACTGTTTGATAGGCAATCTCAGCCATGAATTTGAATAAGATGACTGCATGGTTACTTCTCCCAAGTGGTGGGAGAAAAGCCACTTGACCAACATCATTACCGTGTGTGAAGACTAAATCTAAAAGGGAAGAGTTTCTTAAGTCTTATCTTGTGGGATCTCTAATGTGTTGGAATAATGCTAATCCAATCGAGGTTTCTAACAGTTTGGAGTCGAACGACGATATGGATGACCCTACTTCTAAGTTAACCCTACTACAAGACGTTTACACCGGAACTTAAGTTTACTTAGGATAAAATCATCTGCTACACATTCTGGACTGCGATATACTACAACTAATTCAATATCTTGCAGTCGGTATTTCAACTTACATCTCAACAGTTCACATGTACCTGAAACATGTGCTACTGTCTCAGCTAATCTTATGGTCAGGGTACTTTTCGTGTACAGGATAACCCCGCCTCCCCTGCGGTTTAATCTATCAGCCCTACTGGTTTTGAAACCAGTCAACTGGACTTCACTGTCTAATACTTCTGACGTTAGCCAAGTTGTCGAGACAGCAATAACGTCTGGTTTTTCTTTATCCACCACTGGCTTGAGTTCCGCCATTTTATATAGTAGGCTGCGAGCATTTCTGTAGCATACCTTTAAGTCTGTGGAGTACTTTCCCTTACCACCCAGAGTAGTTTTGGGATCGTTTTTCTCCGAACTTTTACAATTTGAAAACCCTTAAGAACAAGGTTTCGTTCCTCGTTTTAGCGACGTTCATTTATCTCAGCTTCTGCAGCTCGTCTCTTAATACGATCTGCTAGGCTGAGATCCTCACGGACATATGTTCCGGATCCAATCAGTTTACGTGAATTACTTAGAATTAGGTTCCTTTCTTCCATCGTGTTGAATGTAACCTTCAGGAGGCGGTTTTTCGGAGGACTTTCGGAATCCACCTTTTTTCCTATTCTATAAAGCTTACAAATACTAACTCCTGAAATTGTATCTGGGAGTAGTTTACTTAATGATGTCTTAATATGATTGAGATCGTGTTCAAATCTCTCCTTTGCTTCTTTATCTGAAGATTCTCTTATCTTATGAAAAATGACTGATCTCTCAGAGAAATCTGTCTTGTCACGCAATAAGGGTTTTTCTTCTGATAACGTCCTTTCCGATTCCTTGTAGACCAGCTGCGTTTTGCCTATAGCCTTTTTCTTCCCACTTTTTTTCTCCTTACTGAAGTCCATTTGTCACCACTCAGGACAGCCACACCTGGACTACGTAGAGCGGTGACAGTTATATCCGGATCTTCTATTTCGACTAGAGATATATGACTGCCGATGTCAATATCAAGCGGCGCTTGATTCCTCTTTAATGTCAACGGAGATTTCATGTTCCCGTCAACCACAGTCAGGAGTTTAACGGGTCCGATAGCAGCACTTACTACACTGACACATTCATCTCCGTCAGCGCTCTTGTTATCATTGCTTCCGCCATCATTTTTCTTGCAAACCAAAGTCAATAGGCCCATAGCCTCCTGAATTAGTACCTCTTTATCCGTACAGCAGAACATACAAAGCCAATGCGAGTTAGGCTTCGAGCATCTTTTGTAAGCCGTCGGACTTAGGCGTGTACACATTTTGTGGTACCACTTTTTACAATCGTCATATTGCATTCCCCCCTTCACGTGGAACAAACAATTTGGTTGCCCACATTTGTGAGTCTTACCAACCATTGTAATTCGATTTAAAAGGTTTAAAAAAACACAAATTAATCACAATGTGAACACAAGTGTTAGTCAGGGGTAAAAAAGGTACTCAGGACAAAGTTTAGCAAAAAATTTCAAACTTTAACCAAAGAACTCTTAGTTAAAGTAGACCAAGAATGCTTTTTGGTGCAATAAGTACCCAAAGCAAGTATAATTACAAGAAGTACAAAAATCACTGCCCGTTTTGAAACGAGAGCTGATTGCCGAGTTGGATGCATCTACTGCGATACTAATGGGTTCTTAGGTGTCCTAGTGTGTTAACATGGTTGATTTAGCGATAAGTTCCTTAACTGTGGAGAATCCTTTTCTCGCGACATCGTCCAAAGTGGTGGATTTTGTATTTCCACGAAGTTGGTCGGTTAGAGGTTTCAGTTTGGTATGAACCGTCTACAGAAACATTCTAATCCGTTAAGCATGCGTAAATGCCTGATTGTGGTCAGTTCTGGGTAATCCAGAATAGCCACTACTGCTTTTCAGAGGTCGGATATGACAATAATGTAAAAATGAGAATATTACGATTATTATGATCATAACGAAATGATCCACCAAATGGATAAATGAGAATGGTTGACACGAGGACAAAGTGCAGATAAGATAATACGATTTGAGCATGTCCATTTCACTGCTGTACTGACTTCGCTAAATGCTCCGGATAAGAGCTTGAGTCGTTCAACTAAGTTGCAGTTATCATTTTATGGCCTGATTATTCTTGTCCTACAAACAGAAACTCCATACCGCGTAAATGCATATCAATTAGTAGCTTATGGAAGCTATTTACTCTACTGAGGCTCATTAAGGCATATTCATATTTCGCCATTTGGTATTCTTATATTCTATCGGCACAACAGATCATTATCTGTTATAGTCTACCCTACTTATTTTCATGATTTATTCCACTATCAAGCCCGCAAACAATGACCGATTTATTACTGTTTTTACCACCGGAATACATCTACCGCAGCCATTGCCCAATAAATACGGGCTATCTGTATAGACATTCAACATGAGTTTAAACTTGCCATAATTTCTATATATTTCATCTTTGCTGCTATTAGTACAAGTACGTACTAAAATTCCCCTCTCTTTTCTTTTGAGAGCGACACAACACTGATGTCATCTTACGAGCCGACTAAGAAATGTGGGCTCGTCGCTCGATTCTGTATGTAAAGCAAACAACTATCTATTGAAGTTACGTCGGACGTAGCAGTCGTCACCAAAGATCGGTTATATCGCTTCCTGGTCATCTGGCCTTAAACCTATAAGTATATATCTTCTGGTTTTTCTACGACAAATATAACGATACCAGCATATTTAATGGGTTGGGTTTTCTGGAGAGTGATAGAATTATGGTATACGATCTGCCCTGTGACCATTTTTGTGGTCTGTCGTTCTGTGTCAACTAAGTCACTTTTGGAAGTGAAATATTCACCTGTTCATTTAACGCAACGATTCTGCCGTCTACTATCGTTTTATGTACAGAGCGACTCGTTTGTATTGTTTTGTCACAGATTCCGTTTTCTGTTCATCTGAGTCCCTTGTTCCAAACTGCTAGAGTCTTTTGTATACTGGGCGACAGCCGGTTGGGCAACAATTGGTAGAATAAACCACTGTATACCTTCTCATACTCCGCGAAACGTTTCACATAGTTTTTAAACTATGACAGACTTCTATTGCCAATTTTCGCCTAATTGGAAAGTCGGTCAGTTAATGAAATTCGTTAGACTAATGTTTGTCTTATTACATGCAGTTTATCTGATTTGAATAGTTAAAACGCCACATATACCTTCTATTACTTCGTCTGGTGAGAGTTCACTTGTGTAGCCAAATTTAAATCTCCGTGTCTAAATATGGTTGACTACAAGATAACTTTACAGCCTAATGATTTGGATTTTCGGGTTAGTAACACTAGAAGGCGTGATAGAAAAATTAACAGTACTGATGATCGGGGTTTTATGAATAGCCGATTTGTCTTTATCTGATTTTCTGTTTAAAAGGAACAATAAACATGCGAATAATTCAGTGTTTATTTATATGATGGAAATAAGTTGATAGCAGTCGATAAGTCTTGCGAATTGAACGCTATATTCTTTTCTTAAGCTATTCTGTAACCCTCAAGCTAGAACTATACAGCGACCCGAACAACGAGAGAGAAGACGCAAAGTATGTGAGAAGTACTTTACTCCAAGGTTCATTATAATACAGAAAATGCAGGGTTTTCATAAAATTGCAATGTCCTTGGGTTGCTCGAAGATTCTGGAATTCTACTAAACATAGTAGCAGTGTAGCAATCAACCAGTCAGAACCTCTGCAGGTGACGTTTCACTTCCTTGATATTTTGGCTAAAACTTCAAGTGAACACTGACTGGATGAAACGCTTCTTAGTGTTTCCTGATCCTTGCTTGTCTTTTGCGAGCAATTTTCCGGATCACTCCGACACCTCCCCCCTTTCAAAAAGTAAGACCTATTCTTCGGATCTACTTGCAGCTTAATAACTGGTTTTCTGCGGCGGAGTTCCTAGAATGTGAGAGTGGTCTGTATAACCGGAGGATCTATGGAAGTTAGAAGTAGTCAAATTGGTTTGCTAACTAAAAATTCCCAGAACAGTCTAATTTAAGTTAGACAGAAATTAATGAACACAACTAAAAGCATCGTATTTGAGATTCGTAAAAGGCATGGAGTAAGGTGCAAAGGGATAATTATTACACAAAAACATCACAGAATCGCTGAGAGGTGAGCTTAGAACAGCCAGCAGACCAAAATACAACAGCTTGCTTATATAAGTAGTTCTAATTTAACAAACGTTGAGTATAAGATATACAAAAGACCCAGAATCGCTGAACGGATTTTCCAATAGGTGACAATTCACTTTGTGCACCGAAAGCTCAGTACAAACGAACTATAAGATGCTAATTCGATAAGTTGTAATGCAATATAAAATTAATTACTTACTAGAAAGATTAAAGGTTTTTAACGAACGAGAAGTACATTTCGATCTCTAAGGAATAGACTCAAATTTAAGCAACCGAGCACATTAAATTAGTCTGATTGGGCCAAAATGCAAAGTGTAACAAAACGAATGCGGTCAATGAAATATCGTGAAACAGAAATTACAAAACTAAAAAATCACAGTAATAAGTAAATATGAGTAATGACCTTACTTTCGGTCAAAAAATAAATATGATACACAGAGATGAATAAAGTCACATACGTATTTTTAACATCAAGTCAAAATAAGAGTTACTGTCATTTAGAAAACATACAAGAGAGATATGCCCACACATATTAATACACGCACATAAATGGTTTTGCATAGATAATACATTTGTTACTGCTGACAACATATCTGTTACCCAGTCAACGCTAAAACATATATTTTTAGAATACTTATTCATTCGTTTTTGATGGGCTACATTAACTAACCTAAAAATGTTTTTTTTAAAAATGCAAATCACAAAGCTGCGGGACGTCCTAGTTAAACACGGTAGACTTAATGTACTTCTTAGATTTATATCTTACTGCCAGTAAAACCGATGAAAAACTTGAGCCCCGTTCTGTGACATTGTGCTGAAAAAAATGATTATTCCTTGAAAAAGTTATGGATTTATGCATACAAATGAAAAGCGAATAGTTTTCGAACATAGGGAACAACAAATGACTTGATCTGACTCCAAAGACATGCTATTCGTTTCTATACATAGAATAGTTAAATGCCTTCAAATTGCTAATCTGTCGTTTTTCAGGCAGTATTGCGTGAAGAGCTAAAAGATAAAACTATGAACTTGCATTTAATGACAAAAGCAGAAAATCAAAAAGCTTGCAATCAGTTGTAACTCGTGCAAACATGGCATACATTGATCGAGAGTTATATCGAAGATTTTAATATATATAATGTAATGCCAATATTACGTAAAGAATGAATTTTAGAGTTACGGAGTAAAGCCAATTTCAGCGGTAGATATCAAGACCAGTGTGACTGGTGTTAGGTTTTTACAGAGTGAAAGTCATTGTTGTTGGATAGTGAAACCAATGTTATCAAACAAAAGTTAAATGAAAAGTTCGAAATTCAATAAAATTCTAGGTGTTGTACAAAGACTGGCAAATACCAATCTTATCTCGTATTTAACAGGTAATTAGTAAAATCGTAATACATAACAAAACGACTATTTTTGTTCGAAAAATATCGTAAAAGTATTCAATGAAAGTAAGTCTAAAAACTATAGGGGAAATAGTAACGTCTTCACTTTTTTTCTTAGGAACACTTCAGAACAGCACTGAGAATCTTCAAGACTTAAATCAAATCATTTGTCGCTGATCTATCAATCGAGAATTCAATGAGTAACTACTTTAACATTTTCTAAGTTCATAATTTTTAACAATAAACATCATTAAAGGTGAATATTTTCTTTTTTATTGAGGTGAATTACTTTTCATTCATTCAGTTCCAGTTAGAACGTTTTGTAAGTTATTTACTATTACTCTCTACATACCAATAAACATCAAACCTATATGGATGAAACTGAGATACTTGCTTATGAAAGAGAGATGGAATGATTCAATAGTTGAAAAAATTCTACTACCCTATTGAATTCTTTAATTATTTACATTTTTGTAACTTTTTTCAAGGAATCAAGTTCTTCTTTTAATTCAAGTGATAAATCTAAAGTTTGACTATTTAATACACATTCCTCTTTTATTTTATAAGTTGAAGCAGTACGTGACATAAGTAATAATTCTAAAAGAATCTATGACATAATCACAAATCTCATTGGTTGAGATTTTTGTTTGTATGTATCCATAGGTATGTTTATATTCTTATTTGTTCTCATATATAAAGATTAATCTATGCTTAATTGTTACAAAACACCATTTTACGTGTCAACACAAACGATATGGAAGTTTTTCAAAGGATTTAATAAAGATATTCTGTTTTACACAAAATGATATTCAATATGAAGTAGAATGATTAATTTTAAAATGGTGATATATCTGTGATATTTGTCATGACAACATATTCTATTCAACTATTTTAAATTTTAAACAAAATATAAAGGATTTTTATTTATTTTTATAAAAGATAATACATAAATAATTATTATTTCATCAATGAAATATCCTAAACTATTTATTCATTGTTTATATATATTGACAATTTTCGAATCTATTTTATTCAAAATAGAATCATTGAACTTCAATGTACCGAATTACAAAATTATTTATATTGATGGTAAGCTATTTTATTTTATTTCATTATATAATTTAATGATTATTGATTGAGATCATGAACCGATTTTTATGTTAGACCATCATTGAAAATCTAAAAGCACTGGACAACTGTTTCGTCCTATTGTGGTACTCTTAAGTAGTGCGCATCCAAGAGCGCGAGCGGGATCGTGGGTGCACACTGTTTCCAGGTTTTTATTGGTGGTTTAACATCAATCGGTTCATGATCTCAATCAATAACTTAATTATCCCCATAACCCCATATTGATAATTTAGTGATTAACATAAATTCGGTAGTTTGAATTATTTTTAAGAAATTTAAAAAAGATCGTTATCGATTACCATAGTGATTAAAGTATAAGTAGATATGGAAATTGATAACAAAGTTTTTCCCTTGTTTATCCATGAACAACTTTTCATGTATATTGTATTACACTCATCTTAACTATTCCGACTGATTGAATCCATTCATTTAGATTTGGACGTCATTCTCATGAGGGATTTCGGTGTTATGTTTTTAATGAATGTTGTAGTTTACTATGTTTTTTTTTAAATTTATTCATAATCAGATCCAGTTAATATTTTATTTCTCTGTTAACTTTAGTAAAATTTTAACAAAGTTTTTGTAGTATAAAAAGCACTATGAATTCATTTAAACACTTGTGAGGACTATATCAAAACTTTTCTATTTTTAATAATATATGACTATTGTAGCAGACCAAAGGATTCCCCGGAAAAATGACGTATATTCAGCTAAATAGTATTGAGGAATCATAAGTTAACATTATTATTGACTTTATTTTTTTGTTCATTCAATGTGGTCGGTTTAACCATACATACGTTCTTGATTGAGATTATGAACCGATTTTTATGTTAGACCTTCGTTAGAAACCTGGAAACACGGGATGGCCGTTTCGTCCTGTTGATGTTAAGCACTAACACCAGTGGATGCCGGCTCAGTGGTCCAGTGAGTTAGGTGTTTGAGTGCGGGACCGAAGGCCCTGGGTTTGTTCCCCACGAGCGAACTCGTGAATGCGCACTGCTGAGGAGTCTCACAATAAGATGAAACGGCCATCCAGTGCTTCCAGGTTTACAATGGTGGTCTAACATCAATTGTTTCATGATCTCAATCAAAAACTTAATAATCTCCACAATCCCTATACTGATATATATACGTTCATTCGATCTTCACTAAAATACCACTAATCATTTAAGTGAATTGATTTTATACATTTAAAATTTTCACTTATCAATATTTTTAAAAAAATGTATGTAATCGAAATAAATTTTAAAAAAACTGTTCCATAATTCAATTTCGATTAAATCTTAGATACTTGTTAAGTCTGTTGAAAATATTGATTATTCTAATTGTGGAAAAATATCATAGATTTGACAAGTTTTATGAAAGACACTATTAGTAATCTAAGATCAAATTTTTATCGAAGTACGAAGTACTGCAAGGTTCTCCGATACAACACAGCATGCACCAATCCAATCACAATTGATGGAGAAGATTCGGAAGATGTAAAAACCTTTACATATTTGGGCAGCATCATTGATGAACACGGTGGATCTGATGCAGATGTGAAGGCGTGGATCGGCAAAGCAAGAGCAGCATATCTACAATTGAAGAACATCTGGAACTCAAAACAACTGTCAACCAACACCAAGGTCAGAATTTTCAATACAAATGTCAAGAAAGTTCTACTGTATGGGGCGGAAACCTGGAGAACTACGAAAGTCACCATCCAGAAGATACAAGTGTTTGGGAACAGCTTTCTACGCAAAATACTTCGGATTCGTTGGCCAGACATTATCAGCAACAACCTACTGTGAGAGAGAACAAACCAGATCCAAGAGGAGGAAGAAATCAGGAAGAAGCACTGGAAGTGGATAGGACACACATTGAGGAAAGCACCCAACTGCGTCACAAGGCAAGCTCTCACTTGGAATCCTCAAGGCCAACGGAGGAGAAGACCAAAGAAAACATTACGCCGAGAAATGGAGACAGACATGAGAAAAATGAACCAGAATTGAATGAAACTAGAAAAGAAGGCCCAGGATAGAGTGGGCTGGAGAATGCTGGTCGGCGGCCTATGCTCCATTGGGAGTAACAGGCAAAATTCAATTCAATTCACGAAGTACTGACTATAGTTTACAGAACATCTATATGTATATTTTCTTGAATGAGATATGAAAATAATTTTTGATCTTTAATTTAGCGTCTTGTGTTTATCATTAAAACAAAAAGATGAGAAATGACTGGTTTATGAAATAGTAACGAGTTATTTTTTACAAAAAAATGAAGGCTTAGTCAGTTTCCGTCAAACTATCAACCTTAATTTTAGATGTGAAAGTCACCTGAAAATCCTGTTAGGATAGCACAACGTTTGCACTGTTAAAGATTCTATAATAAAAACCATATCAAATGTCGTTGATCTGTTGAGAAGTCTCACAGTAGGACAAGATGGCCGTCCATTGTTTCTAGTTTTTAAGTGGTGGTTTAACATTGATTAATTTACGATCTCAATGTTTATCTATAGAAATCAAATTAAAATGTTTATAAGCAATACATTTATTGAATTTGTGAGTTAACAATATGCTACCAGTTGATCACTGAGTTCTGTGTACAGAGGTAATATACTCGACTTTTTATGATATTGCTGTTAAATCTCTTGTTCAACCAAATATTTCCTTATTTATCATTATTTCTGCCTGATAATTTTCTTTTCACACATCGACTGATGTCTTTTAAACTGAAATTCCAAGTGGTAGGAAGATTCCATTTTATCATATTCCAAACATGTTTTATATCTGAAATCATCTTACAGATTTGTCGTTAGCTTAACTCCTTTATTTTCAAAGAATAATGTACTGTGACATCATATTGCCCAATGATGAGCCTTGATCACTTCGAGTTGTTTGGTTTGTCAATATCCCGTTAGTTAATTTGAATGAGTATCTCCTAGGAAACTATGGTAAATCTAAAAACATTGGACGTTTTTTTAGAACCTAAGCATCCTTAGTAGAATTGTCTTTTGATCTCATCATAAGGTTTATGAACTTTCCAGAATTGGTTTTCAGCTAATATGTTGATGGGAGTGAAAAAATTATGCCTGACTACTTCTAAAACTACAGTTCATATTACCATTTAAATTTTCAGAATATTGAATCATAACTTACTTGAAAATAATTAATGAATAAATGGAAATTTTAATTGTGATAATTGGGAACATTTTTCTAGTTACTATGATCCTCCATAAAAGATGGTAAAACAGAAGTAATTTAACTTTTCTGGAAATATTAGAAATGACAAATAAAAACGGTTGCTAAATACGTTTACAATTTCAGGTACTCAATCTCCTGAGTATTGGGGGGGAGAATTGTTGGTTGACTCCAAAAATGATAAAATGCTAAAAACATTGAATTATTTCATTGAGGCACTAATAATGACAATTACAAACCGAACTCTGTTAACCTAATTCATACTGATTCTATGGTTTAATTATCCTACAATAGAAATAAACCAAGTTTCTACAAACTATTGTAATGTAACTTTTTGATTTGTTAAAAGTTGTTTCAAAATGTAATGTTTGTGTAGAAATTATTGTCACTAATGTTTAACCTCAGATATACATTGTATAACTTGGTTCAAACTTAATGAAACATTCATATATTTCCAATTAAACTAGAAGTCAAGATTTTGTACTTTATTATCTTTTTATTTATTTATATATTTCATTCACTCTTCTTCTTATATTTTGATTTCATTATGTCATTTATTAGTTTGAGAATTGCTACTTTATTCATTTTCATCTTTGAATATATTTTAATTTCAATCTTTTTCCATAAGTAACTTCATACATTAAATCTTTTCATTTCAATTTAATAATTAATTACTGCTGTAACTTTGTAGAGCGTGTCAGAACTTCATGAAGCTAACTAGTTTTAGTTACCATTTGAAGAAAGCACAACAAATAGGAATCAATATCAGATGGATTTTGTGGATATCATAAAAAATTCAATGGTTCAGATCACCAGTCAGTTGAAGCTAGACCACCATAGAGAACCTGGAAGCACTGGACGGCCGTTTCGTCCTATTGTGGGACTCCTCAGCAATGCGGATCCACGACCTCGCTCCCTGCGTGATTCGGACTCAGGACCTACTGGTTTCGCGCGCGAGCACTTAACCACTAAACCACTGAGCCGGCATCTAACGGTGTTAATGTCTAACTTCAACTAATCCCCGAAATTGAGCGACACATCCACCACTGTCTTCAGTGAGTTACTATCTCACAACAGACCTAGTTGAACTCCATTGGTCACTACTTCTCACTGGAACTCCAGGATATACCTCTTGAAGCCAGTCACTAGTGAGCATATGTTGATTAATATCAGATGGGTTTTGTGGATATTATAGTAATTTCAATGGTTAAAATCATGAGTCAGTCGAATCATTCCAAATTTAATAAAGTTTAGCTAAGAGTAGCTACATTTGATTGTAATTGAGTTTGGTTATTCTTACATAGCCCTATGGGATATAATAATAATAAAATTCAATTACTGTGATCGATTGTTATTTTACATTTCTTACAAGAATTTGGGAAATTAGATTTCATCACAAGATTATATAGGTTAGATAATCGTAACTACCTAATTCTATAAAGCTATTTATTGTTAATTAGGAGTTTCTCCCTTAATATTTCAATGACTTTTAAATGAAAATTCGTTATCTTTAGCTTGCTTCAGCAATACACAATGCTGACATGATTAAATCATCTAACTTAAAGAATAAAACTCCACTAAAATCATCCACTTGAGCTACAAATCCTCACCATCTTAGTATAAGAGGATTTAACCAATTTAACGGTAAATAATATTGTATCAAGAATTAGTCAACATTATAAAAAAGTTAGTCAGAGTAATATACCTTACCCTTTTGAAGTCAGTTTTAGTCTCTAACAATTAGATTAATACAGATGAATCGATAATATGTCATAAGTAAATGCTCCTGAAGTGCAATAAACGAAATTTTTTTAAAACAATCTTATATTAAATTTGCATTGTGAATAAATAATCACTTACAACTGGGATAGTAATCCACAATTATCAAGTAGTGACTGATGTTATTCAATAGTTTAAGCAATAATTGTTTAATTATCACTAAGAATGTTTGTTTGTTTGTTTTGTTTCTGTTTTTGTTTTACACTATTACTAATCGTATTCTACATTGAATGCTGTAATAATGCTTTAAAAAAACTATATTAGTATTCTGTATAATAATATTAATATAATAAATCAATAAACAAAACTTAAATTCCAAACTCATATTTTAACTGTGTAAATTTTTGTTTGTATACGTGTTAGTGTCTATGTGTACGCATGAAAGGCGAATAGAATATTGATTTATAAGTATGTTGATCACCATAATTATCGATATAGAGTCATTAGTGTAAAACAATCATTCGATTTGTTTATGTTGTAAATCACCATTATTTTTATTCTTCTTTTTCTTCTTTATGTATAATTAATTTGTTAGACTTAACAATGTTCAGTATTATCAATAAAATAACTTTTTAATAATAAACTATACGATACATATCAAATGGATATTTTTAATAAAGATTTTATTTAATAATTGAATTCATGAGTTGATCTAAGTTAGACCACCATTGAATATCTGGAAGCATAGGATGGCTGTTTCGTTCTAGTATGGGACTCCTCAGCAGTGTGCACCCACGATCCCATACGTGAAACCTAAACCCATGACCTCACACACGAACGCCTAAGGTTCAAACTACTTAGCCAGCATCTAACTGTGTTAATGTCTAACTTTAACCAATCCATAATTCAAATATTTTATTCTGATTTGTATATTTTAGAAATAAGGAGTATTTAAGATTGTATCAGATGGTAACAATTTATTGAACTGTTCAGGTTCAATGAATTCTTAACATAACATTTATAAATACACGGTAAATGGATTTCAGAAAAAGCAACACTATTTTGTAAGAGTTCGTTGAGTAAATACTACCAAGGCTGTACATATTTGAAATATTTACTTCAATATGTTTACTAATCTGCACCAACTCAAATATTTGCAAAGTCGATTGTGCACATTTTTTTCCTAAGATAAAATTGTGAAAACTTTGAGGAGATAATACTAGCCGGTGACAAAAGCTTAGCTAATCTAAACTAACAGGAAAAATTGAAGTAGTATTTGTAAAATGAGATGATTTATTCTTCATGTACTTAAACATGCAAAGACAATGCAATCGATTTCTTTATGAATTTACTTAATTATAAATCATAAATGAACAAAAGCCTTACAGAAATTAATTAATAACGGATGTCTCTCATATATTAATCTTAGGTTTACAAGATGTAATTTGTACAGTATTCACTGACTCTGATTCAATAGCTCTCATTCTTGAACATTTGCTTGTTTTCTTATGAATTTCTAATCATTAGAATATGGGAATTTGGTTCAGGTTATCAAGTTCCACATGAAATATGATTGGCTGAATAATCAACATATCAATGACCATCAGTGATCAACTAAAATATATATGCTTAATAATTTATACTTTAAAGTAACGAAAATAAATTCCAAGACTATGAAACGATCGTTTACCAGGTATTTAAAATCACCCCCATTTGTAACTTTATGGATAGTAAGCGTGTGTAATACTGTACTTTTTATGTAATACAGTTTTCTCTGTGATTCACATATCTACTTGACTAATTTTGATGTATCATCAAAACTGTTTTCGGATGTATTTTGTGCTTTTTTTCATTTACCATAGAAATTCCATACTTATCTACATAGCTATATTTTGGTTTCATCCTACAGATTTCATTTCTCATCCTAAATGGATGTCAACACATAAGAGTTTTACTTTCCCAAAGAAGAGTCGTATAGTTCAAATATCTGTTCATTCATCGTCAAACAGTTTGTTTATTGCAGTAAAGTGAGTTTGCATACTTTGTAACTTTTATATTGTGGAAAACGATATCAAATGTAATCTATTGAAGTTTATGATGCCATCAATGGTATTTTATAGTCTTTCAATCTCATGATAATCTGATTTTAAGTCACGAACGTTTTACACTGAGATTAGCAAAATGCTTAATGAAGAAGACAATTAATTTCAGAAATAAACGCGAATGATTAACTGAATATATTTCATCGGAGTTCTTTTCTGTAAAATACACTAAAATTATCAAAATTCGTACATATGTTGTTGTCAATAGAAACAAATTACAATTTTGAAATAATTACTGTGGAAATTTGACTATTTATTCATTATTCTAATCTATAATTTCTTATTTGACAGTAATTCAATTATAAGAGTTTCTGCAGAAACCTTCATAAAAAAAGATGAAGCTAGTTGGTCATTGTCTAGTCAAGATATATCAACCTGTTCTGAACAAGATTCTAATAGAAAAGTAAGTGATATATTTCTATGCAACTATTCGCTGTAATTAGATATAATATATATTGTCTTGATATGTAAATTGGCAATGTCATACTTATTTGAATGTATTCTCTTATAGATGAAGAATATTCCTTTCAATCTGTTTTCAGGTTCTATAGTTACAGATTAAAATTTATAATCTAAAAAGTGGTCACACGTTTTAATTTGGATATTTAATTGCAGAACCTGAAGAGAATTTATTTGTTGTTCATATATATAGGTATTTTAATATGACAGGGGCTTTATAAATAGTATTTACTTCTGATTAACTGCAAGGTACTTTCACGAAGTTAATAAAAGCATCTCAACTAAAATTCTGTTAATAATGACATTTACTAGTAAAGTTTACTTAACTCTTAATGGAAATATATTTTTGTAAATATATTTAAATTCATATTATTTTGAATCGCTGTTATTATTATTTCTGCTTATTGTAACAATAATGTTATACTTCGATGGTGTAATAAGAAGACGAAGATTATCAGAACTATGCGATATATTAGCGCAATACATTTCGAACGATCTAATCACACATAATGTACTTGTTAAGAACATTTATATATAAAAATAAAAGGTCAAGTTGACCAGAAATAGGGGGTAAGGATGATAAAGAAATTATATGAAAACAATCTGAAACTTCATCACTCTGATTAATAAGCTAATATTAACAGGGTAGGTTTAAGGGGAGAGCAAACTGTTTTCGAATAAACAAACAGAGGGATTAAGGCTTCAATAAATCTTAGTATACACCCTTTCACACTTTTGTACAATACCACAAAAGTCGAGTTAAGATCAATCTTATGACCTGTTTTAATTATGTGTTTGGATGTTTATCTTCCACTCTTATTGAACTATTTGATGCTATATAAGTACTATTTAAGTACATGTTCACATGTTCAAATTGTTTTCACATTATTTCCCTTATTATCCTTGTCTCCTCCATTTCTGGTCAATTTGACCTTTTATTTTTATATATAAATGTTCTTAGCAAGCACATTATGTGTGATTAGATCGTTCGAAATGTATTGCGCTAACGTATCACATAGTTCTAATAATCTTCTACACTATCGAAATAATGTTATACACAAAAAGAGTACGTGGATATTTGAATCTGTAGTGCTTATTCATATTTATTTGTTAGGAAATACCTTTGTACATTGAACAAAATATACATTCTTTGATCCGTATACTACATATACTATTTTTAAATAGAAGAAATCTATATCCCTGAAAAAGTTTTCTTAATAAAATGATCTCATCTAAAAAAGTAATATGAATTACAAAATGATGAATAATTATTTTGGGTGATAAGTATTCTGTTTAGAAAATAATAATAATTCAAAATGAGATGGTTATTAATCTTGCCTTGCCCTGGTGACAAATATTCCTTCGTTACATCTTAAACGTTTTTTACTCTTTCTTGCATTTATTACATCATTGAGTTTTATTTCAATTATCTTCCAGATTTGTAATCTTATTTTATTAACTGAGCTCTACTCATTTTATTACCATCAGCGTTTACTCAATGTGTAATCACTTGTTTCTGGCCGTTTGAACTGTTGTTACAATCAATGTTGTAGTATTTTCTTTTACATAAAGTATATATTTACTATATTCAGTCTATTAAATTTATTTACACTCATTATATACTATACTAATTTGTCTTCAATATGACTTCCAACTCAACCAGTTCATGTAAGTAATTTAAACCCATTATGTAATTATGATTTTAAATATCATAAGTTGTAATGAAAAAAAGTTAAGGATATCAGACAATTTTTATGCGTAGCGGTTCACATCTAGCCAAAAGGTACTTTGTGTATCAAGGGAACAATTAGAGAAGTACAGATAGAAAAGACACGAACAAAAGGAAAGATGGGCCAACCTTATGCATTTGCATTTAATAACGAAACAAGATTAGGACAATATTAAAATCAAAGCTAGAAGCATATAGTATGGAGTTTATGATCCAATACAGTAAGAATTAATCCTGATTCGAAAATAGTATATATTCATGAATAACAATTATTTAAGCTATAAATTCTTTAATAATTATATAGTTTTAACGTCTAACATATAAACGTCGCTTAATAGGCACTTGATAAACTAAATAATTACACAACGATGCTTAATTTTTCACCTTTTACTATGTGGTATTTCATTAATCTCAAAATCACAGTGACTCCTAGACTATTAGTAATGATTCTAAAGTCAACTTATAATTCATTGTTGACGAATTATTTATAATATAATGTTAACTCACTACTTAATAATAAACATTAAACTGCAACGAGCCATGGACTCAAGTTTCATGAATATTGATATTCATAATCAAGTTAAATGTATAGCTGTAGTAAAACTCAGATTTAGTGTACTTGTCAATTTAGAGTAGCTCATAGCAGCAGTAAAATATTTATGTATTGAAGGAGCTATAGGATTGTATGATGTATATTGTTTGAGAAGTGGGACATACTTAGTAGGAAAATGTCTGACTATGAAGCATAGTGAATAAGCAAATATTTTCTTCAGATTACAGAAAGATCTTACCATTCAGTCTTCAGAAATAGAAAATCAAGTTCCAGGGTCTTTTGTATAAATCGAATTCAGAACGCGATGATATTAAACCACTTATCGCAGATAAAACATTAAAAATGTAATCTACAATATCAAGTCAGTCATGAAAACCAAACCGAAGATAACTTTTAGTCCATATTATTTGAAAGTCATTTAATACTAGTAAATAATGACTACAAAGTGTATATTTTTCCAACTAAATAATTTATATTTCAGCCTCATGGTAAATTAATTCATTTAAGAGCAACAGGATAGTATGTAATTCAAACTGAAGGTAGAGAAGAGTTCTTTTCAGATATAATTTCTTCCCATGATATTTCATTTAAAATTTCTTTGTCATAAATAATCACTTGAAATGTAAATACTTCTACGATAATTTTATTGAATTTATTATAGATTCCATGTAATCAATATGCTGTGACTTTGCTAAAAGTTGTAGATAAAATATTTCCTGGACTAAATGATTCACCTTTACATCGAGCTGGAGTTTATGTATGTTTATCCAATGGATTAATAGCTGAATGTTCACTTCGTCAGGTTAGTTTTTTACATATTGTCCTACTACATAAATCTTATATCAATATAAGCAGGTAAATTATAATTTTGATGACTTCCAGTGATAATTATAATGGTTATTGAGATTTGAATAATGTAAGCATTAAGAATTTATTCAGTAAATACACATACTGTTAAAAACATCTATGTTCTTATGAATGACAAATTGTGCAAGATTGATTTTTCACATTTATTCATGGAATGTTTGAAGTATCCTCTGCTTGTAAATTAAATGTATGGTCGGTTACAAATTGACACAGCATAGAGTTATCTTATAGATCATAAATTATACAAAATTATTACCAAATTAAGGTTCTTTTCTAGCTCAATTAAATTTTTTTGTTTAACTGGATTAATTTAAATAATATAATCAAATTTATGAATAATAACATAATCAGGACCCCTCAGTGATAGTGTAATGAAACCCAATAAACCACTGAAAATGTATAATTAAATATTTTTTTAAAAAAAAGTAGTTTGCAGGCTGAAACATAAACTACAGTTGAAGTAAACTTGTATGTTTAACGTTGAGAAATAATCATGATATGGTATTTACAAGTTGGAAGATAAAGTCTTGTTCAAAAAAGTGAATAATCATCGTTTTACCCTTCTATGTAGTTAAGATTGTTTACTTTATCAAGCTCTTAAAACATGAAATCATCACTGATAGACTTTTTGTTACCATAGTGTAAATTGTTTAATACAGTGGTCTAGTGGTTAAGTGCTCGGGCGCGAAACCAGTAGGTCCTGGGTTCGAGTCTCGCAGGGGGCGAGGTCGTGAATGCGCACTGCTGAGGAGCCCCACAATAGGATGAAACGGCCGTCCAGTGCTTCCAGGTTTTCCACGGTGGTCTAGCTTCAACTGACTCATGATCTTAACCATTGAAATTAATACAGAATTGTTTTTGGTTTGATTGTGTGTATGCTTAATTAAAAACTTAAATTGAATAACGTACCGTTTACATAAAATATTTAGTTCGATATTTTATAAGGTGGTCAATGGTGTGAATTATTTTACTTATGGTTAAAAATAGTTTATTATTTATTAGTTCAACTGGGAATTTTGTCAGACTGTAATCAATGAATATCAAATATACATACCTTACATTCTATTTTGTTTCTAATTTACTCAAATACCATATATAAATAAACCCGCATTCAATCATCAATGAATTAATCTGTCAGTAAAAATAAAGAGCAATATGTTTTTTTTTCATTTTATCAATATGATCTAATCTAAACTCATTAATACTGAGTGTAAACTTTAAGAAAGAACAAGAAGTAACCATGATAACTTTTGACTAAAAAAATACCTGACGTCTTTACTGAAGCTAATCAACAGTACGATCTCAAACAAAACAATAAGTAGTGAACTTTTATTAGACAATTGTTGATGAATCAGGTTATTTGAATATCAGTAATGATTGTCAGTATTCATTACTTTATATTTCTGTTAGGATAATCTCTCTTTTGATTATTTATAAAACGTAAATTACCTTGGAATACAGCTGATAAACTCAAATGTAAATTTATGAAGAATGATTTTTTAATATTCAAATTGATTTAGTCTTATAATAAAGCAACACTGTTTAACGCAATTATCCTCTATGTATCTGTATATGTTTTTAGTATTATATTAACTCATTATGCAAAGTGAAATACTTTTGGTTAGAACTTAAGCCAACTTGGAACAGGACTCTGTTTTTATATTCACAAGTAACTGATTGAGTAACAGTCTGTTATATTTGGTGGTATAAAATGTAATTTTAACATATCTTTATCTTTTGTAGGCTAACAATTTACGTGCTCCATCGAAAATACACTGGAAAAGTGTAGATCATTGTCCAATAGATCCTGATCGACCAGCTGTTGGTTTTGTCGCAAGTACACAAAATTTGTACATAGGTACCAAAATAGGATCATTTAAAAACGCTGAAATGCGTATTATGAAAATAAATTCTGTAGAAAATTTGAATTCAATCCAACCATTCAAATATCCTATTCGCACATCACCTGATGACAGAATGATAAAACAAAATAGTAAGTTGATCAAGTCACTTTAATGGATAATGGATTATCGATGTTGTTTACACAAGAATATTATTTTGATATGCTGTTACAGTCAGAATCATGGTTGGATTTATCCCTCTTCACAGGCATGATCAACTTGATATAAATAGTAACACTAAATGTAGAGAACAGGTATATGCTATAAGATTGTTTTAAGTTTATTAGTTCAAAAATTGTTTAGGTAGTACATTTATGACATGTATCACAGCAATGAAAAGCATCGGACGGGAACTTTTGATTCTTCTTAGTGGATATCCTATAGATTTATGAACTGTGTATTTAACGTCATTTCCTGCACCATAACGAATTAATTATAAGCATCTATAACTGGAGAAAATAAAATAGAATCAGAGAGCACTGAGCTAAAAGCAATAATTACCAAAATATGACATTCAGGTCTACCAAAATGCATGTGTCATGTGATTCAATGTTATACTGTTCACGTTAGATATTTAAATTAGTTAGGGTTCCTAGGATCGTTGTTAATGTAAAGTAACAACAGGTAGGTGGTTTTACTTAACGATTTCAGTAATAAGAATGGCTAAACATCTCACTTATGGAATAAGATACACTTACAGGTGCTAGGACATTTAATAAATTTTCAGAAGAGCAGTAAGCTTCAATGCAGCGAATAAAAGATGGGAGGGATTTTATCTTACGAATGGATTGTAGTAGATTATTCCACAGTATTGAAAATTTGCTGGCAAGGTAATTCATATAAAGAGATGATTTAGAATGGGTTTGTTTCACTAGTGACAAGGAGTTATGGATGTCGTATTTAGAAGTTTCTGCATATTGAATTACTTGACTGGATGTAAAGGATAGTTTATTAAGTACTTTGAAGGAAATGATTATATTTAGTTTGAGTCTCCCCTTCCATAAAGGGGTCGGGTCCAAGTTTATTACATCTGAACTTATAATTCACGGTACAATCAGCTCCAAGAATCAAAGGTGTAAATCATCTCTATACTGATTCCAGCCTTAACTTATCCTTTATGCGCGCACTGCTGAGAATAAACGTGCAATATTCTAGAAGTGGTCGAACACAAACTTTGTACATTAAAATACGTGACTCATTGTTATAAAGGTTTCGAGTTATGTAACCTACTAGACGTTGAGACTTGGAGGTCTGTTTCAATATCTGTTCTGTAAACGACAAGTCTTGGGAGTATCTAAGTCCTAAGTCTACTACTGTATGTAACCTAGATAACACTTCTCCAATTATGGTAAGGTCTAGGTCGAGCGATGTATTGCCGAAGCATATCCATCCACATTTAGCAGTATTAACATCCATTTGCCATTTTAAGCACCACTGTGCTACCTTGTTAAGCTCCATGCTGATGCAATTTTGCATATTTTTCAGCTCATGTGGAGAAAATGAATATACTACTTCAATATCATCGTACAGAAGGGGCTTATCCACACAAAACCTTTCACAAATATCATTGATGAACACCAAAAAGAGCAAAAGGCCTAAGACATTACCTTGTATCACACCGCTTCTAACAGGGACAGCGTTAGACAATGAAGAGTTAATTTTATCTATTTGATGTCGATTGTTGAGAAAGGAATCAAACCAAGCTAGCAAAGGATTTTGAACCCCATAAGATGCGAGTCTACCTACAAGAAGTTGTTGGCTAACCACGTCGAAGGTTTTAGAAATGTCCAGATATAGCACTAAGACTAGATATCCTTGGCTACGTAGAAAATAGATTAAATTAAAGAAGTCAAAATGATATATCATGCAAGATCGATTTTTAAGAAATCCATGTTGAGTATCACTGATAAATTTTCCAGCGAGTAAATAGTTGGAAAGTTCATCACTTATAATTTTTTCCATAATCCTAGGGTTAACTGGCGTAATATTTATGGGCCGATAATTGTTCATCTCAATCTTATCTCCAGATTTGTAACGTGGTATGATTTACGCGGTTTTCCAACAGTAAGGGTGAGAACCTGTTTCCATAGAGAGAGTAAACAGATTTAGAAGAAGAAGTGGAATATCTGGACCACCATAGTTGTAGAGAAAGGATGCAGTCCCGTCCGCTACATGACCTCTCGAAAGCTTAAGGGTATTAATAGCCTTAGTAATTTTCATGCATGTGAAGGAGATAGATTTTATTGAGTTGTTAATCACGCACAAAACTCTGGAAGCAGAACCACTTATTATTTTTACACCATTCGCAAAAATACCACTGTAAAGGTCTGCTATATTTTTAGAGTTGCATATAAAAGTGTCGCTATACAGGATGCATAGTATATCAACATTTTGAGTTGCTTTAGCGCGTTTATTGAAAAGGAGAGTTAAGTTTTGTACCTTTGATTTAGTATTAAGTGCTAGTATCTCCTCATTAATGACTTTTAATCTATGTTTCTCTTTAATTTGATTTAAAATTATTGTTATTTGTGCAACTACCGTGAAGTCGTTTGACTTAAAATAACGATTCTGTTGGCGTTTTAGTTTATTACGATATTTAGTTGGTATATACAATTCGTAAGGTTTACTGAACCTGTACATTTTAAGAGGTACACAGGAATCTAAACAAGATTTAACGATTGGATAGAATGTTTCAATGGCATCTCAGTTCGAAATTTTAATCAGTGAATCCAGGAGGTCCCAGTCAGCATGCTTATAGTCTATATATTGACGGGTTTCGTTGTATGGGTTGGTTATAAGAGGGACGGTTAGGGAGAGCATAAAATACCATTTTATGGTCACTGCTTTCAAATGCATTGTATACTTGTACAGACAATGGGATGATATCTCTACTAAATATTAGATCAAGTATATTATGACCAACTTCCGTATTGATCTTTCATGAAATAAGTGGTACACCTTAGCCATAATTGTCCAAATTCAAGAACAGTAAATCTGTTTGCATCTATATGTAAGTTGTTCATTTAAATCTGTATAAAACGTTTATGTAGCACATTAAATTAACAGTTTAATTTGATGTACTAACTTCGTATGAGATGGCAGCAAAAGGTATCCATTCATGGAATCAAGAATTGGTCTTTAGGAACTAGAAGAGTAAAAACAACTTACTAGATAAATCGCAGATACTTGAGTTCATTATGTATTTACTTAGAGCATGAACAATTGTGAAGTAATTGTATAGTTTATATAAGGAAGTGACAAGTTTTCAGGTAGTCTCTCAAGTTATAAATAGTTAATCACTAATAACCTGAATTGGAATCATATAAACTGAAATTGCTCTTTTGTATATAAAAAATAGTAGGTGTATCATACATACTGATCAAAGTATAACATAATAGGTCTATACCTAGTTGTTTAATCCTTTTTAAATGCTTCGCAGTTTGAAGATAATTATCAAGTCAGTGATTGAAACGAATCAATGTTTTGTACGCCGTTGTCGTTTTAAAATATGTAGCAATTACTACTTTCACAGTTGCTACTGTCAGCCTCATTTTACACATTTTTCAAATAGTTTATTAGTTAATTATCAATGTTTTTATCTAAACAACAAAACTCTTTCACTATCTCGTACACATACTTGCACACAAATTCTTATCATCCTATACAAACAGTTACATGTCTTTATTATCGTCATTAACATATGTTTCGAATATAGGTAATCAAATTTTCTTTAGCAGCAACAGTTTAAATGCTTCAAATGAATATTTATACTTCTAATCGTAAATATAATGAGAAACAAGTGAAATTAGATATATGCTTAGATAGTTTTTTTAATGAAAGCGATAAGGATATTCAAATCAACATTCTACTTATCGCCTTAACAGATAACTCATATTTATTGAATAAAAATAAAAAGAATTCAGCAGGTTAAATTAATCGCACAAAACAATCACTTTCTAAACACATCTCAGAACACTACCCGGCGGGGTTTTTAAAGGAGAATGCAAAACAGGACAACCTAATCAACTCTGGACACGCTGCTCCGGAGGAGTCTTCTCTTAAAACAATCTACACGATCAAAAGGACTGGATCGAAGGAAGGTCGGATTAAAAACTTTTTCACTGCTGAGTCATCAGCGATCTACCAATTCAAGCCTGAACTCTGTGTGTTTTAGATTTTTTCAAAAAAAGACTATTATTTTTCAATTTTAAACTGTGATCATTTATTATTATGACCTTTATGTTTGCCATTTTGCGTCATATCTGTCAATTTGACAATTATAATTCTAATCAGAGAGGGGTTTCGACCCGTACATTATTTTCACCCTTCTATTCTTCTCTAACCCCTTGATTATTACATAACCTCACTTGGCAATCGGAGTCTCGAATCACTTTATGATGCAGTCTTTTCTACCCCTCTATAGACATATATTTACCATACAACTATAAAAACTAAGGTACACCTAAAGTAAATGGTTTCTTTGAAAAGAAATTTTTTTTCGGTGAGTTCTGTCTTTTTTATTCAGTGACACAATAGGTTAAGTCAATTGATATTTATTACAAAAGCACATGTAAAAATGTAGAAAAAATAACTACATGAAATCATAAATAGTCGGGAACATAATACAAGTTCTAAATATACAATCCCACTTCTAAAATGTTGTGTCGTCAAACATTTAGTCTCATGAATTAAAAGTACCTTCTGAGAAATCAGCGTTCTGATGGAGTCAGATATCTTTCCAACATACAGGATTACTGAGACTTGAATCAGACCTTTCTTAAGTGTTTGGTATATTTAAGATTTCACAGGTTGTTATCATTAAGATGTTTGATAATTATCTTACGCTATACAATACAGAAAATGTAAACCAAACTAAATGTTTATTAATCTTTTTCAGATAATACAATATTTGTACATAGTTTCGAGTTCCACAATGCTGTATACTTTTTGTTTCGAGAACTGGCTGATGAGACAGCTGAAAGTTGTGATAAATCTGTAAGTATTTTCTTAAAGAAAAATGAATAAATACAAGATTTTCACTGAATAGGAAGATTTCCTTGAAATCAATGGAAGGTATTCTATTTAAAGATATAAAGATATGTAATAAGAATAACATTAATTTGTTCAAGCATCAAAATGTGATGAACGATATATAATAGTTTTATAGACTATTGAAATGCCTTTTAGGAAGCAGATCATTTTGTATTAAATACATATGAAATAACCGGTTGGTAATCAAAACGTTTAATTCCATAATTCTGTTTGATATTTATGGAAAAAAACTGGAATATTTATCAGTAAATAAGATTTGATTACTTATGATGTAGTACTGGAAATGTTCGATTTTCTAAGTCATTCAGGAAATTTATTCCAACAACCTAGTTGTATATACAGTTTTAAAACCAAAGAATGAAAGTTGTCTGAAAACGCAGAAAAAATACTTAAGGTATGAAAACCAGAAACTGTGAGTTACCTACCTATAAATTATGCCATAAACAGTACAGTCAGAAATACAGTGCTCCTTTCAAATAATTGAGTGGGAATTGAATTCCAATACTTAATGTTTATCAGGAAAACATAACATACCAGTGTAATATGACAGTGACAGTAATAAATGAAAATACATTAAGAGATGGATTTCTAGGTTATTCAAGACATTCTCAATCAACAGATTTTCCAGGAGAATTTCACACAATAAAAAAACGCGAAGAAATTAGTAAGAGATACCATCACAAGTAAAGGAAACGAATTAAAAATGAAGTTGAGAGTACTTAGACGATTGGTTCTTTACTATAAACCAACAGAAATTGTAACAATATACAAGTCATGAGTCTAAGATAAATGATATATAGCAGCTGAAAACATGAAATGTAAGTGAAAATTTTTTGTTCAGTAAAAATCACACTTGTTTGGTTAATCATTAACTAACCAAAGCTCTTTCATCTATAATTCTATATACCTTTTTGTATAACTGCAGATTGTTGTGTCACGAATCGGTCGATTGTGTAGTGTAAGTCTTCATTTTCATATATATATATATATATATATATATATATATATATATATATATATATATATATATATATATATATTACTTAGAAACTGTCATAAGTCGATTATTTTGTGCAAACTAGAGTAAACCGTAACAAAAACTGTGATTCAAACGAAGTTATAAATGAGTGATATCAGTGTATAACTTGAATTACGTACTCCGATCGTGCTATGAAATGTTTAGTATTAGTATCAATATTCATAAACTTGAGAGGCATATTTCTGAATATGTATGATAAAAAGTAATTAATATATCTTTGCAAACAAATTCGATCAGCAATTTAAACAGTATGTAGAACTTTAGGACATCAACCTATGCATTTTTAATAGCCTCTATGCTTTTAAGGTGTAGAATAAAATGACAATGCATGACCACATAAAAAGTAAACGACGGTCAATTTTCATTAATTTAGTCTTGAAACTCTTATGAGTTATGGATTAATATGCTCACTTATGCTGTCCAAATTCACTAAATGATTGCCAGAAACACATTTCATTCTTAATAGTTTGATGACCATGATAATGTTATTGTAATAATTCTGTAAACAGGGGTTTATTAGCTGTTTACCTCTAGGTTCATTGAAAAAATAGATATTCAATGTGATGACCACTCAGAACTACCGGAATTTATTGCTATGACGTTGTTTATACTTTCGAGAGGACTGAAACATTTCTTATTTTAAGCACATAAACACTTGTGTTTGAGGATGCTTACCGAAGTCATGACTCGCTTCGAAGCAAACAGTTAACCAAATATTGTTCAGGTGCTTAAACTCATACGTAGTATCTCACGTGCGAAAATATATCCAAATTGGATCCATTAACTATGATACAACAACGTTCTTGGCAGATTCTTTCACGTGATAAGCATTACATTTCAACTTGGAGTTCTTCGTATCAAATACAACCTCTTCAAATTAAGATTATTGTTTTTCACATACCTTTTGTTAGTCAAGATCAGTAAACTACTCTTATTTTAGTAAGTAGTCAGATATCCGTAACTTTTAAATTTTATAATTTAGTCAGATGATGGAAATATGTTCGGTGTTTTCAATAATTTTCTCAAAGCAACAATTACTTGTCTGTCAACACCTGAAGATGGTTCTAACAGTCTGGTATTCACTGAAATTCAGGCTGTGTATGTGGATCAATCAACTAAAACTTTATTTGGAACGTTCCAAACCTCATCGTGAGTTCGGTAATTTAGTCTAACTGAATATAATATAAAAACACGAATAAACTATTGGACCTGAGCTCAGAGTTACATAACTGATCGATTATCTTGTTGTTTTTCGGGCTTTCTACCGTATATCTGTTCACATGAATAAAAGGATTTGTTTACATACAATTAATTTTCATTTCAAACAAGATAAAGCACTTACCTCAAATTGTTAACCATAGGGATTTGTGGAGATTGTAGTATTTTCACAGTTGAATTCGGGTGCGAGAGTTGTCCACCTCAGACAATGGATGAGTGGTTGCTCAAGATCATTGATCGATTAAAGTTGGACATTAACACCTTTGGATACCGGATCAGTGGTTTACAGGTTAGGCGTTAGCGCGCGAGACTGAGTCCTGTGCTCGAGCCTCATGTGCGAGGTTGTGAATACGCATTGCTGAGGTGTCCCACATTAGCACGAACCGACCTTCCGACAACTTCAGGTTTTCCATGGTGATCTAGCTTAAAGTGACTCTTGTTATTTATGTATTTCTGCCAAAAAAGGTTAGATTAATGTAAATAACAAAAAGCCATTAGTAATGTTGAGAATTAATGTGAAGTTGTTGAATCGTTAAATATCAGTAATCTTAAGAGTACAATATGTGTATCCTGGAGTTAAATTAATGCTGTCTTGATCCAAAATCACCACGTGATTGCTTTATAAATATAGTTCACATCTGTGTTTATAAGTCGTGGAACTCAAATATTTAATTTACCATATACCTTATTAAGACGAGTAATGTGAATATCAACTTCAGTTATATTCAGTACTATCTCTTAAATACAACGCAGTATATTTTTTCGTATGTAAATTACATAGTTTATATTCTTACAATTTGTTATCTTTGTGTTCCATGGTTCATTTACACACCTTTTTCTTCTATTCTAGATCAATGCCAACTGCATCAGCTATCTGTGAATACAGTTTGGTAGAGATTGAGTCAGTATTTAATGGAGAATTTTATAAAAATGATGGAGTTGCCACAGCAACTAGGAATGATTATAATGTATGAAAACTTTATTTTTTCCTAGAAATTTATTTGATGCACAGATGTCCATACCAACTCAAGGAACAGGTTTTAATAAGAATTATTATTATCATTAAGAATTTTAGTGTTTGTGAACTTTATCTCGTTACTGAACTGTGATGCTTGAATTTTATAAGACTTGACACACAAAGCTCAAACTTACGTACTGAAGTTTAAGTAACATATTTTATGTTACAGTCAATTGCACTATTTGACCGAGTAAACTGAATAAGGAGTTTGAACTTGTAATTCAGTGATTTGAAGTTAAAAGTATTTAGGACGAAGCTACTGGTGCACGTATTATAAAACTTGATCATTCAAGAAGTCTCACTATTCTTTATAGGCCAAGTGTTTTGAGCATCTCCTATATTAATATTCAGCAAATAAATGATTAGTTGTCAAGTAAATCATGTACTTGGATTTTAATATTCTTATCGTAGAATATTAAACAGAAATAGCATACAGTCTGGTTATTTATTAGCTCGTATACAATTCGCTCATTCGTCTGTCAGATTTAGTCAAAAATTAAACAATCCTAGATTTTAATAGTTGAATTTGTGAATCAATATAAGCTAGACCACCATTGAAAACCTAGGAGAAATGGACGCCTGTCTCGTCCCAGTATGGAACTCATCATCAGTGCTCACACATGATCCCGCACGTAGGACTCAAACCCAAGACCTTTGGTCTCATGCACGAACGCCTAACTTCCAGACTTCTGAGCCAGCATCTAACAGTGTTAATGTAGAACTTCAATCGATCCATGATCTTGAGCAAGCTTTTATTCATTGTCTGAGGTGGATACCTGTCTCTACCCGACACGGGTTGGGTCCCACTGGTCAAAACTTATGAATTCAACTACTAAGGTCACTAAAATCTTTACAACCCCCACCCTGATACTAAATCTAAATATTCCATATTCAGCGAGGTTAGTAAACATTCAATAATTGACAGCAAGTTAAATCTCTAAATTTAATTACTAAAGGACTGAATTTTTAAGATTACCAGTTAAATTTAGTTCGTAATTTAACTTTATCAGTATTGAATATATCAGTCAAAAATTGTTATATTAAATATAACGACGTAAAATGTTCAAATTCTGGCTCGTTAATCATCATACAGTCAGTGAAGTTCAGAAATCTTAAGAGCTATTTACATGACATTCAATGTGTATAATTTTTTACCTGTACAGTTACAATACAACCAGTTAAGTAATATATAATGTTATCTCTTCACTATATTTAGTGTGATAAAGTTGCATCAAATCCATATTCGAAAAATGACTATCATCTTATGTTTAAAACTGTCAGACCACGATACGACAGACCAATTCTAGTACAGCAAGGCGAAATGTAAGTTTTAATTACATTTTAAAATACAGCGTTTATTAATTCTATACTTTTGATAACATAGAAAGTAATTCATTACTTTTAGTTTTAAATCAGTGTCATGAATATGTTCAAAACATTACTAGCTCACTGGTATCATCTCTGACTGTGAAGCTGGGTGACACGGGATCGAATCCTCCAGAGAGCACCAGTCCCCTCAAGATTACAGGTACACCTTGCTGACGAGTGCCAAATAGCACGAAACCCGGGTTCAGGGTTTTCTGTCGACTACCTCCACCCACCATCTGTTATCAATATGTAGTGCCCGCAATGTCGAGTCACCTAGACTGGTGGCCACATTGCAACATCGTTGATAGCATTCGGTCTGCACTAAATAAGGACTTGACACACATGACATTGATCACCACCCAGTGATCAATCAATTGTGATAACTTATAACTGTTTTACGGAAGACCAATTACTAACAGATAAATACCTTGAATAAAGAAAACCAAATAAATAGATGATATATAGAGATTGAAACTTTTAACTACCGGACAAACTATAATGCTCTAGACTGTTTTTTTTTTACTTTTTTGATTAACGTTTAACTAATACAATACTTACAGTAGCCGATTAACAAAGAAACTGAAATTGAGTGATTTACTGCAAATGGATTAGAATGTTTAATAATATAAAAGTGACCAGGCAACAATATGATCATAAGAGGAATTCAGTCATTGATAAGTGTTTCTAATGACTAAAGTAGTTTGTTCTATTTTCCAGTGTATTAAACAACACTGAACGTAGGTTAGTGAATACAGTTCACCCATGTTACTCCTTTCGTAAAGTATTACATATAAGTATATAGGATTATGCAGCCGATAGTCTGAATACAAGACTTGATCCATCATATCAATTCAATCTGACCTAACAGACAAATTTATTTTATTTGTAATATACCTTACAGTTCCCTGTCGAGTACATGAAAGAAATATATTCTTCTACTGAATGTTTTCGGATGTAAAACATATTTTCAATACTCAGTAGTCAAATGTTTTTTTTGAATTGTGTTTAAATCCCTGGTTACATCATTTTTATTTACATAAATATGTTTATTCTATTTATATATATATATATTTATTTAGATATACACAAATTGTGGTCAGTAAAATCCCAGGAACATTAAGAAGTGATATGAATATGGTCATTTTTGTGACTAACTCTGAAGGGATATTATACAAATGGCATATAAAAGAATTCCAGTTATGCCTTATAGAACTAATTTATCTAATGCCAAGATTTTCGAAAAGTCTATCAACCAAGAATGTTCAAATGCAAATTATTTATAATAATCAAAATAAAAAAGTGAATATATTTTCATTTATAGTTTGACTTTATTTGTAAATATTGTAAATTTCAACGACTAAAATAATTTCATCAAACTGATCAAACAGGCATCTATTAGTGACTACTTTTATTACAGATTGGTCTTTCCAATGTTGATCTATATTTATTTTTAATACTATTTAACTGTTAACAGTCAACAATATTTTAATTTCAAGTGAAATATTGATAAAATTTAAATGACATTTTATCATGTTCTTAGAAGTTTTATAGCTTAACTGAAATTAAATAAGATAGATTAGTTCAACGAAGAGTTCTCTTTTCGACGAATTCATGTTCAAAGCTGTACAATCGCAAATATATATATATATATATATATATATATATATATATATATAATATATATATATATAATTTTCAGGATAACAATAATAATAAATAAGTATATGTATATTTACGATTGTATAGCTTTGGAAAATAATTCGCCGAAAAGAGAACACTTCGCCTAACCAATCTTTCTTATTTAATGTCTTAATGGATGTATTCCGTTTATTAACTAAAATTGACAGTAATCCAAGTCAGTATTACAATATTTCACATTCATACACCCTACAGTTGAATATTGTACTAATAAAATCAAAATAAGGTTATCTTTGAAAATGTTAAAAAATATTTTGAATGAATAACTTATTGAATAACATGTTAAGCAACTGATATAAATTTAATAGTTTGACTATAGTTATTGGTTAGATTAAAATGAATTAAATGAAGGAATTTACATCGTAAGGGTCATAAGTCAATCCTTCTCTTCCAAAAAAAACAAGATCACTGACAGTACCGTTTCTGTAACAAGTGTCATATGGATAACTTTCAATAAATTTGTTTAAACTAGACATTTTTAAAAAAATAAATTTACATATAACGTTTTAGAAACTTTCACATTATCTTTATTTCTGGGCTTAACCAAATTGTATGATTATTTAGATACATCAAACTTATAAATAAATAATTTACGGCGACGTATACTTCCATTACTATAATACCATTTTTGAAGCCATTAAACTATCTTTTATTTAAATCAATCCAGGTTGACTGAATTGTGCTGAGAGTATAAACAAGAATTTTAAGCAATAAAGAATTAATATCAGATGGGTTTTGTGGAGATTGTAGTAATTTCACTGGTTAAGATCATGAGTCAGGTGAAGCTAGACCACCATAGAAAACCTGGAAGCACTGGACGGCCGTTTCGTCCTATTGTGGGACTCCTCATCAGTGCGCATCCACGACCTCGCCCCCTATGAGATTCGAACTCAGGACCTAACAACCAGGTCTGTTGTGAGATAGTAACTCACTGAAGACAATGGTGAATGTGTCACTCAATTTCGTGGATTAGTTGAAGTTAGACATTAACACCGTTGGATGCCGGCTCAGTGGTCTAGTGGTTAAGTGCTCGAGCACGAAACCAGTAGGTCCTGAGTTCGAATCTAGCAGAGGACGGGGTCGTGGATGCGCACTGATGGGAAGTCCCACAATAGGACGAAACGGCCGTCCAGTGCTCCCAGGTTTTCCATGGTGGTCTAGCTTCAACTGACTCATGATCTTAGCCATTGAAATAAAGAATTAACTTACAAAACAAGTAGTAGGATGCAAAATGGCTTCGTAAAATAAAATTTTTTATTATACTAATGGTACTTGAATAAAATATAAAATAGTTATTTATAGGAGAAATTTATTGATTGTTGTTCGAACCATATGATACTGAGTTATTGAAGTGTCTTATTCGTAATCGATTAAGCCTTAAACGAAGTTTGTTTTGAAACGTAATCACACCACTTCAACCGATACATCCTGCTAAAATCGTAATAACAGAGAAGAGGGCGTTCTCGGAAAGAGATCATTTAAATTCTCCAAATAAGCTGAAAGTGTGACATAACAGCTCTGTTTACAGCATACCAATAATTACATTGAGTGCATACAATGCGATACTAAAATAAAATAAAAAGTAAACAGTCGGTAGACAGATAAGGTCAGCGTGCTACTATTAACTACATGTTGTTGGGGACTTGTCTATTCGTCATAACTACAATTTTTCAACCAAATAAAAATTACCAGATAGTTTTTAGGCATTCCGAGCAGGTGAGGGTTTATCATTTTGGTCAAAAAGATCATATTTAAGTTAAACTCATTATTGCTGTCAGACAATTGCTAGGTTTAGATTTTAGGGCCTGATGTTAATCACATAGTATTAATCAATAAGTATAATGTTACCATTTAGACAACAAATGTTTTTCCGCTAATTTTTTTTAAATTTTCACTTTGAAAATGTTTAGATATCCAAAGACTCATACATTTTAATAGCAATAGAAAATCGTCTGCTACGTTTACCTATTGCAAGATGCAAACGATTTGGTGATGAAAGAATAGGATGTAAACTTTTACGAGATCCTTATTGTGGATGGAGTGAAGCAAAACAAAAATGTATTGACTTAAGTACTGAAGAAGGAATACTTAATAATATTGTAACATATCATTCAGATACCTGTGTTCAAAGTGAATTAATCCCAAATATGAAGATTAAGAGTGAATGGGGTAGCTGGAGTGAATGGAACAGTTGTGAACAGTCATCAGGGACACATAAAAATAACATATTACTGACACAATATTCAAGTGAACAATTTAAATTGACTGGATGTAATTGTCGTTTTCGATCTTGTTACTCACCTATTTCATCTGAACCCAATGAAAATGAATGTTCAAATGGATCTTCAGTTGAAATCAGCAGTTGTTCTTATAGTGGTGGTTGGACTGAGTGGTCTGCATGGTCTGGATGTGAACCAGTTTGTTACTCTGTACATCATAAATTCAACGTAACACCAATACGTACAAGATACCGTTGGTGTTCTAATCCTAGTCCAGTTGGAAATACACATAAATGTCATGGACCTGATAAACATACTGAAATTTGTACTAAAGAAATTAACAGGTGTTCCAGTAAGCAATTATAATGATATATAATTTATATAGTGATCCTCTATAAGTATTTATCATTGGTTATAATGAAATCTACTATTACTGCAATATTATTTGATAAGAATTGTGTGAGACAAACGACATTGTATCCGAAAACAACTGGTTTACTGAATTAACTTTAAAGCAACTGGTGAGTTTCTAGATACGCACTTGCCCACGGCTCAATAATTCGTTCAAATAACGTAAAGTTTATCGTTCACTATAATCATTCAATGTGAATTTGCCAAAAAATAACATTTGTAACGTTCAATTCACTTAAGTTTATAGTAAAAATTATGGACTAATTCATCACTATAAAAAGAGGATAATAAGTTTAGATAAAACCCATAAAATTTGATTCAGTCATACATATACAGGTGATAAGTGATTGTAGAACTACGTAATTCTTAAACCCTGTATAAGATAAACGTTTCACTCTGATTGTAAAACAACCGCCTTGTTTGATTAAGTAAATGATAGGAATTCAGCGAATTCTTGAAACTATATTCATAAGTATGTGAAATAAGTTTACAATGAAATAATTTTTTATTGAAGATTAAAATTTACCGAACTTCGTCAAATTTATTCTGTTAAGAAATAAAAATTATTGAGAAAGCAACTAGTATATATTTTAGTAAGAGTTTCCTCATACTCAATCACTTAATTACGAAACATTTTACACCAGGAAACATACAAATGATAAGCAATCACAGGAATTTATGCATGCAGTTATCTTACTTAACATTTGAATTAATAATATGGAGCGATAGCTTAGAGGTTGGGCGGTACACTCTTAAATATTAAATCACTGATTTGAAACTAGCTTCAACTACTTCAGTATATGGAACCCAAGAAGTAACACTAAAATTCATATAACTACAGTATGACTCAAGGTTTCATATTCAAGTCTGTACACGACTGATGAATTTTATTATTAATTTTAACCCCTATTTTAGATAAATAGCAGTTTGCAGTGCTTAGCAAATACTTGTTTTAACAAAACTTTAGTCACATAAACTTTAACTATGAATGCAAACTATTGGCTAATTGATTGTCTTAGAATTGTTATTAGATTCAATCTTTTGTTTAAATGGATTTCCTCGTTGTTAATATGAAATTTTTTTGACGAGTTTGTTGTTTCAGACAAATACATCATATATTTCATATCAACACATTCTTGACAATAAAATTTCAAAACTTCCGAATTAAGTCTGACTGTAATTAATGGGCGAAAGAATTCAGAAATCAGACTCAAACGAATAAACTTAATTACTTAACAGTCATGTGTTTATTAACAAATAGTGTAAATAGTTTCACGTTATTGTAATGATAATATAATAGAAAACATCATATTATTACACTAGTTTTTAAAAAATTAAAATGTAGCAATTCGACTGTTATTTAGAAGCTTTGAGTGAAAAAAGGAGAGTACAAACTACCACTGAGCTAAACTTTTCGCATAGATTCAAGATTTTCATTAACTTCAACGTAGGCCTAAACCTACTCAAACTTGTTTACTACGTGACTGAATTTTATAGGCTGGAAATTCTATGAAGAGAAATATATTTTGATGAATATACTATCGTGATTATACATTATTAAATACTTGTATTATTGATGCTTTATCTATTCAGAATGATACTATGAAACACGTGCGTGTAAGTCTAACGAATCTCGCTTTATGCAGACCAGAGTATTGTATACACTATTTAACCTTGTAGTACATTTCCTAGTTATGATTTTGATAACAAAATTCTATTACTAGATTTTATTTAATTTTTTTTCAAAATCATTGGTCAGGTGAAACAACACCGATATTCGAATGGACATCTTGGTCGCAATGGACTTCGTGCACATCATCGTGTAATGGTGGTAAACAATTTCGTAGACGTATTTGTAAAGATAAAAATGGTTTAAGAACTGATTATGCAGAAAAATTCACTTTGGATGAAGTGAAAACATTACTTAAAGATCAGTCAGAGAATACAAATCAATTAATGTGCATGGGTAGAGCTTTTGAAGACAGAAAATGTAATACTCATCCATGTTCAAGTGAGCTTTATTATATTTACTTCTGGAAATTTAGTAATATATTATGTATCTTCCTATATGACTGAACTTTACCAGCACACCCTTAATATTAAGACCGAAAATTTGTAGAACTTTTTCGATGATCAATGATTTTCAATAAACGGAATACATCCATTATGACATTAAATAAGAAAGAAAGATTAGTTCAGCGAAGAGTTCTCTTTTCGGCGAATTCATTTTCAAAGCTGTACAATCGCAAATATATATACTTATTTTTACAGGGTGATAATAATACTGATAATAAACTTATGATATACATGGTGACGGTGAGGTTAAATAAACAAAGGTATTAGAAAAAAAAATTTTAAAAACAAGGAAAGTTTAATAGTTAATGGCTTAGATATTCATCGGGTAAGAGTAGCTCAGTATGATAAAATAACATAAAATGTTGAAACAGAGATGAAATGTAATCGGAATGATCGTTGAAATAAAAACAAACCGGTTGGGGGTACAAGATTTGAAGGGAAGATGGAAGGTGAAGCAGGTGGCTGTAAGAGAACAAGAGTAATGAGGAAGAGAAAAAATTTTAATACCTTAAGACCACGGTAAAAGAAGATTTTCAATAATTCTTCAGTTGATAATAGTCAGTGATGAAAGCTTATTCTAATTTAACTATCCCTATCTATTTGATCAGTTGTTATAAAATCGTGGAAAAGTATGATGATTTTCTTCTGAAAGATATATTATGCAAAATGTATATTTGTAAAACAGAATAATCAAAATATTTAATTCGGTTGCGAATTTTACTTACTTTTTTAGCGACAAAAATTTTGTCTACTTGGAGTGAGTGGTTCATAACAGATGAGAGTAATGGGAAAGAAAACGTGCAAAGGAGATATCGTGTAGAGTGTTCGGCTAAATTACCAGAATCCGGTAGTTTTCAAGCTCAAATCGATACTCAGACTCGAATCTGTAAGATCGACAAAGATAGTCATGAAATTAATTGTGAAGATCTTGGTAAGTAACGTGGTTGATTTAAGCAAAATATTCTATTACAACTGCATTTTTTTGTACTTTTCTGACATTCGAGGAAATACTTTAACTAGATATGAACTTTAAATGTTTGGTTAAACCTTTCTAAATAGTACATATTATTTGTAGAAAGTCATTTTCTGACAATTTTATGCACACTGAATTTGTATATTTCTAGCAGTTTTAGTGTGATCATGTCGATAGTTGCTCATTATTGCAATGACAGGAAGTCATAATTTCCGAATAAATAAGTTTTCATAACTTCCCTTTATTACTGTTAGGGTTGTACCCACAGAAAGCGATCACACTTGTTTTTTGCAAAAAATAATGCTTATAATGCACTGTTGTGGGGTAGAAGCATTGATGCCTTAAATATGCCCTCCATGAGATCACTTAAAATTACATTTTATCACAGATCAGATCAAAACACAGGGTCCAGTAGCGAAAAGGCATAGTGTAAATCATTGCTTAGTTTCTAGGATACGAGTGTGGGTGCCAACGATGCTCACAGATTCAGTTTGACTTAGCGTGAGCTTATCTACTGATCTCTCAGCGAGTCTTCATAGATTCATATGTGAAATTATCGTGAATGGATTTCAGTTGAAATCAATCTAATAGTATATGGTTTATTACTACCAAAATTATGTCATCCTACTGAACTTGAAATATGATTATTCTGGTTTCAAAAGAGTACGTAAACCTAAAATAATGACATCAGAGTAATTCAATTAAGTAATGAAGTTTCCAATACTTCGTACCAGGTGATCAATTGACACTTAATATTCAGCATAATAAAAGGATAAATGCAGAAATCGAGTGAAGTCCGTGACCACGAACTTTGTTTACATCTAGATTTTCTTATAAAAGGTACTCCACGTCAGTCATATCCCTGAGCCGGAAAAATATATTTAACTCGATTGTTTCAAAGATATTTTCATTAGATTAGACAGAAAACAGGATAGTAAACAGTTATATCGATTCCGTCAAGGCTAAATGATATGACTACTACAGTTTTAGTGATAATATCAGTGACAAACAGTGATTGGTGAGGATTTTCAACCTTGTTCAGTCGTATTATAATAGATAAAAAAATCATCGAAAGACATTTCGGCATAAAATCAAAGGAGTGAAACTAGAATCTCTCATATAAGTCGACTTTTATATTAGGATGGAGTATGGTTAACGAACAATGATTCATTTCGATGTAATACATATTGTATTGCTGCATGCGTATACGTACCGTATCATTTTATCCTCATCTCATTCACTTATACGTAACTAGATCACTGAAGCTATTTAACTGAGAGAAACTTATATTACCATATGTTGAAATATTAAAGTTGAACCAGAGAAACGGGAATATGATCTGTCAACTTACTTTAAGATAAATATCGGTATGTATGCATATTTAAAAACACTTGGTTGGAATAAAAAAAATGTACACGAGGAACGTTTTGTGATATTGACAAACTAATAATTTAGAATCATGCAAGAATGATATTTTATAAAAAACAACTTAGTATTTCTAATTTGGTGTAATAGATCCAAAAAAACTTTCATCAATATCATGGCAAGAAATCTAGAATGATTGGATGCTAGCCATAAGTTATAGGTTAATTGGTCAATTTTGTGATATATTGAAAAATGATCATTTAATCAGTATATGCAACAACAACACTAATTGAGAAAAAAAATAACAAGATGATTTAGTGAAGAGATCTATTTTGGCTGAAAATATAATTGTTCAAACTATGGCTGAAGAAGATGCCATAATAGTTCAGGTATTAAGGGTATCACGGTTTAAAATTTTGCCGACTTAAATAAGCATACTAAATCCTTCGAATGAATAACGAGACTACTCTATGCGGCTTTATCTGTCTGTAAATTAATTAGTCCCTTATGAATACAAGTAAACCTTACTGACGAGTGCCCAACTTCGCGAAATCTAGGTACTGTCATTTACCACCAACCATTATCTTACATTTCAGCATAGTGCACGCAATGTCAAGTTTTTTAGAATAGTGGCCACACTGAAACCTAATCAATGGAATTTGATCAGTACTAAGAAGGACTTGACATATATGACACTGGTCATTATTCGGTGATCAATTAATAGTAAATAGTATATAATCATTTATATCTAACCATTTGGTCATTAGAGTTTATTACCTATTAAAAATATTTTCACCTATGATAAGTTTGGTATATTTATATTATTGTGTATTACTCAACAGATAAATCATTTGAAAATTTTGAAAAATTCCTACCAGTTTTGTCAGAAAGTATAAGCAATGATTGGTCATCATGGACTGAATGTTCACAACCATGTGGCGGTGGTAGCAGATTTCGTAAAAGAATTAAACCATTTTTATTACGTAACACAATGGATAAACTTACTAAAAATGATTACGAGATAGAACATGAACTATGTAACTTACAATCATGCACAGGTAAAGTTATAGGGGAAAATATTCAGTTTGCTATTTTTCATTTACAGAAAGAATTTGTCTAGAAACTGAATAGTTAGAAAACACTCTTTGAGAAATTAAATAAAAACTGAAGGATTTATTGGAAAGTTTTCTTCCTGATGAAGTTATTTTCACAGCTGTGTAGTCTTAAGAATATACATTCTTTTCCAATGATAATAATATCCACGGTTGATGATAACAATAATTTATCAGATAAAGAGACAAAGAAAAAATAGATGGAATGATAAGGATGTTATTCATATTTAAAGGTTGAATATGTAGTTATTAAGATTATGAATATTAATAAAAAAACCCGAAGAATTTAGATAAAAATCACTTATCACATAAATGAGTTATATGCTATGATAACTTTTGAAACTGAAATGCAATCAGAAAGAACATGGTAACAGAATTAAGTCAATTACTGATAAGATGTCAATGGATTAAGAAAAGAGTAGTGATGATCCTTGAGAATTAGAGGCAATGGCAATGAAAAGTTGAATGCACTTCTTTTATATACATCATTCTGGCTTTTCAGAATGTTCATTGGAAGTTTCAGCAATGCGAAAACCACAAAAGTGTACTGTACGCGGCAGATTTTTGTTCACTTTGTAGATGAAATGGAATGATGAGTCTCTTCTGGCCGAAAGACCTGAGTTTATAGTGTTCGGTTATTAAGTTGATTGAAATCACGAACGGATCAAATTTAGGCAACTCCTCAGCAGTACCCATTTATGATCTTGAATGCGGGAATCGAAACCAGGACCTTCAGTCTTGCACACGAACACTTAACCTCTAAACCACTGAACTGGGATCCCATGAAGAACAGTGATCAGTGGGGTTCAACCGTGTCAAGTGTGAGGAAGCCACTTATGCAAACACAATGAGAGATGGTTGTTCAACACAATGCATCAATTAAAGTTAGATATTTACACTATCGATACACTAGTAAGTTTTGTATACTATGTCTCCCCAATTAAAGCGATTCCCCATTATGAAAAATCACATTTATAAATCGTTTCCCACAATTTACTAGTAAGTCAGTCATTTCTGTTTACAAAAAAGACTTGTAAATATCAAAAATAAATCACAAAATACTAATTCTGAAGCATTAACTTCACGACTGGTTGGAATGTTCTGGTTACCTATTCGATTAACTATGACATTTAAATGTACATCACGTAAAGATGCAACTAAAATTAAATGTCTAATAAATATTCACTGAAAATATTTATCTAGTTTTTGTTCACAATTTGTTAGTTGGTCATAATGAAGTTCTAGCTTCAAAGTTCAGAGACTGGATTTGGATGTATTTTAACTCATTTTTTGTTTACCAGTGACACAAAATATAGTAACCAACGAATGACTCATGTTTTAAACTCGGTGGATAATCCTGTATGAAATTCAAAATTATGATTATCTGTTTTATTGTGGATACATTTTCAAACAGGTTATTGGAGTTGTTGGTCAGAATGGAGTAAATGTTCAAAAACTGAACCTTGTGCTCAACCAAGAGGAGTGCAACGTCGATTTAGAACATGTATTAATCAATTTAATTCACCTGTCAGCGAAATGACACAGATACATAATACAAGCTTATGTTATGGTGGGTTTGAACACAGTGTACAAACAGTCCCATGTGAACTGGAAATTAGTGAAACCAATTGCTTACAACAACGGCTAAATCAAGTTCGATATCGGAAGCGATCAGTCGAAGTTGAACAACTTGACATAGAAAAACCTTGTAAGCAAAAACTTTTTCGATATATATATATATATATATATCATTTCACCAGTAATTATTTTTCTTTAGAATCAATTCGTATCTAAAGGTCCAATACCACCTAATTTCTTTGATAATCTAGCTAACGTCACTCCGTGGTCAAAAGATATTGATAAAGTTATCCAAAGGTTTTAAGATGTTCGTCGTTGAATTTCAATGCAATGCTTGAGATCGGGCCTGAAAATCAGCTGTTAAATTATAGCAATGGACCTGATATATTTATTTTCAGATTGAAATAAAATGAAACAACTGAGTACCCTGATCAACATTCAGTTTTGGAACAACCAATATTTGTAAATAAAACTACACTGAAATAACGTATATTATCTTACTACTCATACTATTTCTCTAATTTTAGTGGATTCGCCCGAATGGGCTATTTGGTCAGAATGTATAACTGTAGAGCATATGTCGTATCCTATACGAATGAGAACAAGAAAAAGCTGTGAAAACTGTGAGTGGATTCAATTTGAACGCTGTGATACTAAGAAGCCTGTTGCACATCAAGAAGGTAAATTTAAATAGAATGTTATTGGTATCAGTGCATATTAAGTAGTATTGTTCTTACTAATTGCGTTGTTTGTTAATCAACTAAGTAGACCGTTTCATTTACTCATAACTTGAACTATGAGAAGTTAACTAAATGAATGAAAGGAGAACTTATTAAAAGCTATTAGTCACATAACTTTACCCTATCCCTTTTTTATTACTAAAATTCCTTTGTTATCAATGTGCCATATTTTTAGATGTCAATATTTCAAATTGGTGTTTATTTGGCTGTGAATTCATGTTGTCTGTCGTAGTCGTGACACTTACATAGTTAACATAAAAAGTTGTTTTTTATTTATAGAATTTTATATTAAGAGAATAAGATACATTCGTTTGACTTAGAAGTTATAAAATGTAGATATTTCATTTGTATCGATGTCGGACAAGGTAGTAGCTAATGTTGGTCCAGTTGGTTTTTAAATGCTGAATGTACAAATTATGCCTGCAAGAATAAAAGTGTGAAAAGCAGAATCAAATAAATCTTCATATCTCAGTATCGACAACTGATTAGATTTTTAGATCATTCTTTTTATACAACACTCTTGATATAAATATTGTAGGAACAGTCATTAGTTATCTACATAATCATCCTTGAACGTAAATACATCAATTTTTCGTAGGCTTCTACATAAAATGTGCTATTTGAATCTAAATTGAGGATCTGTCTAGTTATTATTTAGGATTCTTCTAAGAAATCACACTAAACTATGTAAGAATAACTAGGTAGAATATAGTAATCCAATTGTTAGGCTTTAATCAGAATGATTAATTAAAATACAAAATGGCTAGAAATATAAAAGCGTCTATAAAGATGACTGATGTTTTGTCTTTTTTAATGATTTAACTAGTATTAGGAGATAAATATCAGTCTTATAAGGAAACAGTTTTGAATGAAGATTCAGCTGAACAATACGATATGTTACATGCAATAATTGTTACACTGGTAGCATTTACAACTGGTTTCGCTATTGTTATAATCCCATTTATAACATGTACAATTAGAGATCGTAAAAATGCTCAAGGTAAACATAAATATCAACAGCCTACATCATTATCAGCATCTATATGGCGTAAAACAACCAATGAACGTTTATCAAATAAAACACAATCAAATTTATTACCATATGAATGGTTTTTAGATAATGATGTTACCAATCATAACCAATTAACTTTTAAGAGTAACAGTGATAGTAAATTAGTAAAGAGAATTCTTGACGATAAAAATAATGGAAGGAAAAAGAGAAAGTTGAACATTCATGAGAAGAATGTTGACAGTTTATCCAATTCCTTATTGTTAATAAACTCTGATAAAAAACATAACAGAAATCAGGATTACAATGACCTAACTAATCAAATTCACAAGGAATATCACTCAAAAGATCCGCGTAAAGCAGCACATAATACTGCATCATCAGTACAACGTCCAGAAGTAGCTGGGTACAATCTTGATACAAGTAAAAGTAGAACAGTTGTTGAATTGAAACTATGTAATGATCAAAATACAACTCCAGAATACGATGACGTCAGTAATAATAATGATGTATTATTACAAAGTGTACAATCAACAGCAAACAAGATTACAAATACGACAACAATAAAACAAAGACCTATATCGGATGTCCGATATGTAGACCCAAAATCAGAAACTAGATTATCACAAGTAAAAATTGTCAGTGTTTTGATATCGTCTTCACCACCATCAGAACAAGTATGGTCAGACATGTCGGTGAATAATCCAATGATTCATAATGTTGCAATTAATGACACATCGAAAAATGGTATTCCAGAAGATACAAGTTGTTTTAATGAAGTATATATAACACCTGCTGAGAATTGTAGATATGATAATGAGATAAGCTTGATGGAAACAGATGAGACAACACATACTAAAAGTACCATTCCAGGCAATTAGCTAGTAAATTTTGCAACTGCTTTATGATAAGAATTATGAATAAATTAATTCCTTTATAAATATCTAATAATAAATAATCATATTAAATATAAAAATTCAAATATTAACCAGTTTTTTTTCAACTACGCCTTCTTATTATCAGGCTTATTAATTGTTTTCAATCGTATAAAAATTATCAAACATTATCAGGACAATAGACGTCCGATGACAAATGGCGATAAATCTGGTTAATTCAACTTATCTTACTGAGTTGGGGTTCAAGTGATTACATATAAAGGACGTTTAAGACATTAAAAGTAAGAAGAGTTTATAATCATTTTTCGTAAGTGAATCTTTGAGATTCAGAAACGCTTACACTAACGTAACTTCGTAGTGTCAAGACTATATGAGATACCGAATGAAATAAAAACGTCAGGGTACAACAAAGATTTGGAACACAAAAGACAAACGAGTGTACGATATTATATATCCCGACCGTAGCTGCTACCTTGACGTGGTGGTCGAACTTGCCTATCGTGATGACCCAACCGAGCTATATTGGCTGGAACATATGTTCTTGTAGGTTCTACCATGCCAGGAAAGTCGATCGGAGAACAGTAAAACTAAAAGCAGCAACTCAAGGTTTGAGGGCGTAGTCATACGGCTGGTTGCAGAGGGCTTTGACAGCAGTAAGGTCTTTTTATCGGAAAAATAGCATCTGCAGCCATTCTGCCTTCTCATAAGGAAGAAAGGGGTTAGAAAAGGTCGACACTAAAAATGTCATACCCCATCTAACCTCACGGACTTCCGTCTCCGGCGGTAAGGCCCTTTGAAGAACGGAGCTAACACGTTGAAAACTCTCACAAAAAGACTGTGCGTGACCAGCCTCAAGCAGTTGTCCTTTGGGCTCTGCGGTCACGCTCCCAGGTCGTTAAGACCAACACCAATCCGACTTCTTTTTCGGGTTCCTCAAGAAATACCCTTCCACGGTGTGGGCAGCCGGGAAGTGATATCAGCCCTCATACCCATAACAGCATACGAGACCAAGTTGATCACATTCACATCTTTCCTACACCCCCTAATACCTCTCTTATCTCCACGACTTACCCTTCTCACGTCCCTTTATCACCTCGCACCGCTAGGGCGAACGATTCGAATACGCGGAACGTTATTCGTGGTCTCTTGAAACCGCGCTCTAAACCACACGTAGGAGCTTTTAACGTTCAAACACTGTGCCAAATAGGACAACAGGCTTCCTTAGCTAGGACTTTAGAATCCCGCGCCATCGATGTGGGCTGCGTCTCCGAAACGCGCATACAGGATCCGAGTAGCATCATGCATTTGACATCACCATGTCAAAACAAAGAACTAACTCGATTCACACTTCGTGTATCTGGAAGCCCTGATGCTGCTTCCCGTGGCCTCGCTGGTGTGGGAATAACATTGAGTCCTAGGGCAGAACTAGCTCTCTTAGACTGGATCCCAGTAGACAGCCGTTTGTGCGTTGTCCGACTAAACGGAACAGTAAGGACTCGGAAAGATAGGGACACTCGTCGTTGCCTCTTGGTCGTCTCTGCCTACTCTCCCACTGACTGCAGCTCTGACGATGTAAAAGATGAGTTTTACAGAAAGCTTTCTGATCTCCTCCAAGACTTTAGGCGCCCTGATGTAGTAATAGTGGTTGGTGACTTTAATGCTCAAGTAGGTAAACCAAGCAAAAGGGAAAGACACCTGGGTAGATCTTATGGCGTTGTGGCTCAAAGAATAGATAATAGCGACCGTCTGTTGCAGCTATGCTCAGATAATCGCCTCTTTCTTGCAAATACTAACTTTAAGCATAAGCAAAAACATCTTTTGACATGGTGATCCCCTAATTCGTCCGAATGTTGAACCCAAATAAACCACATCGCTATCAGCCACCGATGGAGGGGCTCGGTAGAAGACCTTCGTTCATTCTGGAGCACATGCTTAGATTCAGATCATGCTCTACTGTGAGCGCGTATTCGCCCGCGTCTTACCGGACGTAGGAAAGACGCTGCAAGAAAAGCTCTTAGTCCTACTTAATGATAGCCAAACTAAGAATATTTTTCAGGAACAACTAGAAAAACAGTTAGGCGGCCATGTATGTGATGCTCACCCCGAGGCAGCATGGAATGATATCCGAAAAGCTGTGGAAACAACAGTGATATCTGCTAGTACAGCAAGCCACAAGGTTAGGGAGAAACACTGGATCTCAGCAGCATCTATCGCACTGATAGATGCTCGAAAACTCATTCCATCTGGCTCTGAACATGACGAAGAGCGGAGTCAGCTTAAGCTCAATGATCGTGAACAGTGGTGGGTAGCGAAAGCAAGAGAGATGGAAAAGGCAGTGGCGATAGGTAGTAGCAGACAATCATTCAGACTTGTTGGGGTAACCGGTATTAGGAACCCAACTGTTAGCGAAACAATCTCAGAGAAAGATGGACATATTGTACATTCTCAATCCAGGAGATTGGACCGGTGAGCAGAACACTTTAGGGATCAGCTCAACTGGTCTTCAGCCACACTTCGGTTTCCCATGACCTCCAGTCAACCTGAATGGCAAGTTAATGTAAGTCCTCCAACTCTTTATGAAGTTGAAAAAGCTATAGGAAATCTGAAGCGAGGGAAAGCAGCAGGCCCTGACAGGTTTACTCCTGAGATTTTTAAGGATGGTGGTCCAGTATTAGCAGTGAGATTAACTGAGGTCTTAGATAGAATCTGCGAAATGGACGTAATTCCATCTGAATGGTCTCAATCACTAATTGTGCCAGTCTATAAGAAAGGACAAAAGTCCTCTTGTGACAATCACAGAGGAATCAGTTTGACTAATATAGTGTCTAAAATATTAACTCCAATAATACTTCGACGCCCCAAACCTCGCGAAGAGCAGACTAGAGAAAACCAGGCTGGTTTTCGACCTGGACGTGGCTGTATAGACCAGATGTTCACACTACATCAGGTTCTAGAACATAGACACACATTCAGACGCCCCACAATCGTAGTATTTCTCGACCTTAAGGCGGCATTCGACTCTGTTGGTAGTGAGGTTCTATGGCAGTGTTTGTCACTGAAAGAAGTACATTAACCTTATAAAGGCTCTCTCTACTCGAACACAACTGGTAGAGTGAGAGCTTATGCCGAACTAACATCAGAATTGATTACCTCAAGTGGTGTTCGTCAGGGCTGTCCACTCGCTCAATTCTGGTTTTTGTCGTCGACGTACTTTTAGAAATAACACTTTCCTCATCTGACTTTACAGGGGTTGAACTTCTACCGGGAGATTCACTTGTTGACTTAGAATATACCGATAACATAGTTTTATTTGGTGAAGACGCTGATAAAATGCAGAGTTTTCTGACCACTATAAGCAAAAATGCAAGTATGTTCGGGATGTGATTCTCCCCCTCGAAATGCAAAATGTTGCTTCAGGATTGGGTTGCATCGACACCCGAACTAGTGATAGGGAGTGAGGTAAATGAGTGTATAGATCGCTTCACTTGTCTTGGGAGTCTTTCATCAGCCCTTGTGGTCTGGTGTGTGACGAAATCTCAGCACGGATACAGAAGGCTCGAATAGCTTTCGTCAATTTGCGTCATTTATGGCGTAGGCGAGATATCTGTCTATCGATCAAAGGACGTGTTTACTGCGAAGCAGTTCGTTCCGTCCTACTTTACGGCAGTGAAACATGGCCGGTAAGAGTAGAGGATATTCGTAAGTAACTAGTATTTGATCATAGGTATCTTCGAAGCATCGCTCATATATCCTGGGACCACCGAGTAAGTAATACAGTTGTTAGGAAACAGGTACTAGGTAAGGATGGCAAATCAATTTATCAAGTAGTGAAACTTCATCAGTTGAGATGGCTGGGACACGTGTTACGTATGTCCAACCACCGACTGCCTCAATGTGCGATGTTTTGTTGTATAGGAGTAGATTGGAAGAAAGCTAGGGGCGGCCAGACCAAAACATGGCACAAATCCATGAAGTTATTGACAAGTGGACTGGGCTATGTTAGTAGGTGTAGACTATCTGGTTGGGGTCCGCGAGATGATAGCAACCGAAGGTTAGAGACCTTGGATGACATGGCTCAAAATCGTTTGCAGTGGCGCAAGTGAATCCACTCTTTGTGTTCTTCCAAATTCTAATTTTCTGAATTCTTCGTGTCCCTTTTTTTCTCTTTCCAAATTTATTTCACTGGAATATGCTCGTTGAATAACATCTTCAAAACCTAATCTTTCCGATCACTGCTTACACTTTTACTACCTCTATCACTATAGGATTTGAATCGACAATTGTATCTCTGCTAATGTAGTATGGCAACTCGAACTGATGTATGTACGTACGAAGTTCTACGTTATTGACTGATATATATATATATATATATATATATATATATATATATATATATATATATATATATATATATATATATATATATTTGTATACTGATAAACATAGTGCTTTATTGCAGTATTCAATTGGAAAGTGAAAAATGTTTTCCAACAATACGTATATATTTATTAGACTGTACTACGTATTTACGATTTTGAAAATAAGAATAACATATTACTAAAATACACTCAATAGGAAAGAACGAAGCAAATGTTTAAAAAAGCTATATGCTACTGTCTGTAATGAGAGCATTGGTGAAAGCATGTACGGACAGTAATGTTTGTTGGTGCTATGGGTTAGCGCAATAGCTAGCAATATTAGAGACTAATTAACAACTTCCTTATGAAAACAAAGCTAAAGGGAAATAAGTCAGATTTTATAGTTAACTTAAAAACCAGATCATATAGTTGCAATAAATCACCCTATATCCGACATCAAATTGTCAGCATCATGAATTAAATTAAATAATAAAGAGCTGTTTTTGAGGGTATCCAAACAACTGGAAATATTTAAAGGATTGTCGATTTATCTGTAGTTATCTTAAACATATGGAAATGACAGGACACTTTTTACAAACGAGTTGATAAGGATAATTTAATCGATTGTGATGATGTAAAACGACTGACTGAAATATATTCTATTAAGGAAACCATCTTACACTGAGCATATAAAAAAATACAAAGTCAGAACAGATCCCAAGTTTGCATTAAAAAGAAATATGTTCTCTAAAATTAAGTTGAATTAAAGGCGTTTGATTGAAACAGATGTACGACCACATATACTGAAACTAGAATGTTCCGATGATAAGTTATCCGGTATATTTGAGTTAATTTCGCTGCTATTTCCATTTAAACTTGAAAATTCATTCACATTGACAACAATTTCAGCATAGCTACCGAAAGCCTCTCCTCTTGATACATATCCAGGATTGATGCACAACACACCATCTACATTCTAAAAATTAATTTTAAAAATGTTTCAGCACGGAGTAGGGAATGGAAAAAACCAAACTTAAATGATTTAGTCACCAAGATAATATATTACGGGAATACCAAAAAACCGACTTCTTTTCCTTACTATTAAAACTAATAAATCAAAAGCCTTCAGCGAAAGCTTTGTTTGTTACAATGGACAGGACTCATTGGTTAGCTGAAATAAACGTATATAGAATTTTCACTGATTGAAATCATGAGTCAATTGAAACTAGACCACCATGGAAAACCTGGAAACATTGGACGACCGTTTAGTTATAGTATAGGACTCCTCTGCAGTGCGCATCAACGATACCGCCCCCCGCGAGATTCGAGCCCAGGACCTATCAGTCTCGCGCGCGAGTACTTAACCACTAGATCACTGAGCCGGCATCCAACGGTGTTATTGTCTGACTTCAACCAATCCACGAAGTTGCGCCACCGTACAGTGAGTTTATATCTCACAACAGACCTGGTTGAACTCCACTGGTAAGGGCTTCTCACTATAACTCCAGGAAATGCCTCTTGAAGCCAGTCACTAGTGAGATGATTATTATCAGAAGGGGTATATATATATATATACTTTCGATGTGATTTTATTATAGCCATCATATTCTTTTATGTAACTGCCGTCAGACTTCGTATGAATCTAAGATAAGATGTTGCGAAACGGCAAGTAACTAGTGTATTTACCACAAATTACTAACTGCACTAGCTGGAATAGGACTGATTGGTAGACTCGGTAATATTTTGAAAGTGACTACTGAAAAATAACTAATTCAATCTGTAGTGTCAGCTAATATATCTATTACATGAACCTTTCAGTTATTAAAAAGTCCACTTCACTTGGTATCATTTTGATGGTTCCTAATTCTGAAAATATCAATTAACCAGTCCATGGACGACTGTCAAGTGAGATTGTGTTGAGAAGTGTACCTACAGCCATATATCTCGAAATCGCCTTAAAATCACTTAAGTGTCAGGGAATGGTAGCTGAATGCTGGAAGGAAACTTCAGGCAAAAGAAGATAAATCAATGTTTACTTTCACTGTGTTCACAATCTAAGTATCAAACTTGAAAACTACCAGAAATAGCGATGATTAAATAAACAGTAATTGAGATCGTACCTTTACAAATTGACGCAATTTCGACGGTAAAATCAAACAGTGTGGTGTGACTGAAAACTGTGCATATTGGCTCCATAAAGGGTAATCAAGTGGTAAACCATCGTCAGGGGGGTGTACAGGGTAAAACGATGATGAGGCGAGAATATGCCGACATAAACGAGTAATTCTATCACTGCCCGAGCAACTATGAAATTACAAGAAAAAATTGAACAGAAATTCCATCTAGTGTATCAGCTGTAATAGATTTCTTGAAACAGTGAAGTAATTTTAACACTAACAAGTTAGTATACAATTTTGGAATAAACACCAATGAATGAAAATTTTAATAATATTTTCCTCAATTTATTACGTTTTACCCTATAAAAATGTTTAGTTAGTTTACGTCATCAAACTTAATTAAGGCTCATTTCAACCAGATGGTCTGAAACATTGTATAATTTGACTACATAATACCCAGCTTTCAGTTGCATTTATTATGAAAAAAGTAAAACCGACTACAGAGTTTGATTAAGTTCTTGTAAACGATTGCGACTACCGTAATTTCTAATTACAAAAGGTCGATATGGCTTCTAGTACGAATGTAATCAAATTTGAAATCAATAAGTTGAGCAACAGGCCCACAATACCTTGACGATTATCCCTAGTGAGATGGAACACATGAAGTTAGGAGTTTAGGAAACAGCCTGATAGTCAACGAAGTCAGAACTGTGAAAGAACAACTTTTTAGATTAAACAAGCAACAGTGCTTTTAGTTGACGACAAAATTAGCAAACTAAAGCGGAAACAATCAATCACACAAGATCAATGTCACTGTGCAAATGTGAATCGGAAAAATCTTAACTCGATTTCTCTTAAAAGACAAAACTAACATTTATTAATAAAAATAAATTAATCTGAGGTTTTCATAACAAATTTCGGTAGGAACCATCTAACAAATACAGCTACAACAGTGAGGTATTTGTCTAAATGAAGGATAGTAAACATACTTTAAAATTCTCATTTTGCCATTCGGTAAATAAAGAAGGAACGAATTGAGCGAAGAAATTTCTTCGCTCAATTCGTCCATACTTTAAAATGTCAAGGTGCTTACGTTATATGAATTTACTACTACTGAGTCCAACAACTACTAATCTCTTACAAAAATGTTGTGTTGTTTTAAAACAGACAGAACAAACAAAACAACTATCTGACTAATCTTATGACAAGTGGCATAGACTGGAAAACCTTTAGTAGGTATAACCATAAATGCTGGTTTGAGCCATATAGTAAAGCACAGACTTGGAGGTTGGGGTCCACTCAACAAAATCGACATATTGAGATCACTAACCAATTAATGTTAGACCACCGCTGAAAATCTGGAAGCACCGGATGGCCGTTTCATCCTAGTATAGGACTCCTCAACAGCGCGCACCTGCGGTTCCGCACGTAGGACTTGAACCTGTTGCCTGTGGGCATGTCAAATATCACGTGACAAAATCGCCAATCAGAACACCGAATTATATGACATCGTCTTTGTGCGAAACCTATGATGCATTAACCAGCACGACCAGCTTTGAGTTAACTCTGAGCCGTTAATGGTCCGCCGTATATTAATTTCTCGCCTAACCCAGGCCATTCAGTCCAGAACACATGCATAAACCTCCGCTGTATGAATCCTATATTTCAGACATACGTAGTTTATATACAAGCAAACCAGACTGCATTACACCATAAAATGAAAAACAATAATTACATAAGACCAAGCCAAAAGTGGCTAAGTGTGTGGGATACTGTAACTGATAAATTGAGAACAAGTTAAGAATGATAAATCGTATTTCAGTAGCCAATACGTCAATAAAGGCTTATGGTCAAAGGCGTATGAATATACATACTTAATAAGAATGTATAAAATAATAGTCCATAATAACTCTTAGAAGATACCATACATTTGTTCTTGGTTCGGATATAACAAAACCAAGGTCCTACAGTCTCGTACGTGAATACTTGACCTCTAAACCACTGAGCCGGCATCCGATGGTTTTAATGTCTAACTACAACTAATCCACGATATTACGCGGACATCTCTCATTGACTTCGGTGGATAACTGCCTCACACTCGACACGGTTGAACTCCACTGATCGCGGCTCAGTGGTCTAGAGGTTAAGCAGTAGTGCGCGAGACCAAAGTTTCCAAGTTCGGGTCCCGCATGCGCGCTGCTGAGGAGCCCTATACTAGGACGAAACACATTTAGTGCTTCCAGGTTTTTAATAGTAGTCTTCATTAATTGGTTCATGATCTCAATTACAATTCAATAATTTCTACAACCCTATACTGAAAATCGATATATGGCTGGAGATCTTATGGACCAGACATTGAAACTGATTTTCAAGGCGTTTTAGTATAATGCGGTAAATCCTATACTTCTATTTCCTACCTGTTTTACGAGTAATATTTTCCATTCTAGGTTTTTTGCTATCTAGTACGCTACTAATACTTTGATTTATTTGATATTCACTTTCTCGATTTCATCTAGTTGTGCTGATGTAGTGTGACGACTTGGATAGATACACATTTGTGCCCCATTATTTTTGTTTATAACTGGCTAAAATTAGTCGAACACAAAAGTCATATTTTACCTTTGAAACATTATCTTCTCTTAGATTTATGCTTTATAAAAAAAACATTTACATTGAAACTTTTTACAATTAAAAAACAACTAAAAACTAAGTAATAAATTTGTACAAATACAGTACAAATGATTTGAAGAAAAAAACTTTATACGAAACACAAGGGTTACCCAGCACTGATTTCTTCACAACTAAGATCTTTAAGTATATCAACCGAAGTTAGACCAAAAACATATTCCCCAATTTGGAAAAGACATGGATCGGGAGCGAATTGGACTTTTTCGTATGATGATGACTAGAAACAATAAATTATATTGAATATGAAAAATAAACTATACTAAATAATCAAGAAGGATTTCATTTAGACTAATGGAATGCTTATAGTATTATTCACATTAATGCCAATATTAACCTTAGTAATTATAATTTACGATAGAAATACACATTATTATTTTTAAGCTAACAGAGTAAATTACACAATGTTATACTTTTTGCAATAAGCAAAATATTGACAGTATTCTCAAGAATACAGAACAACGAAAATGGAAATAGATAAACCACAGTCAAACACATCCAGTTTCAACTAACAATGTGCAGGATGATAAAGATGACTAACTGATGTAAAAAACAAAGCATTCAAACCTACACTTCCACTCATATTGGTAAGTTAGACAAAATTGATAGAACTGTAAAAATTTGGACTAAAAATCAAATAGAGTTTAAAACTATTATTTTTCCGTCCTAAAACATTATCACTAAGCAGAGGTTTCACATTTTAATAATTAGCTAGTCTATCGCGACCAAATTCAGTCCACTAGTAAATGAGGGAACACTTAAGAAATGATTCTTAATAGTTTGAGACTTCTCTGCATCTGTCAAGAAATTTATCTAGCGTTATGTTAAATTAGTCGATAAAGTTCACATTAAAGCATAAATACCTACATAACAGGTAGATTTTAAAAAATCATATCAGATAACAAATCATAGAAATAAACACATTTACAGCACTGACCAGATGTGGTGTCTTTTCTATCCACGACTTGTCGATAGGTGGAGTCGGATACACTGGATCATGATGTAATTCTCTCCAGGAGGAGACAATTATCAACCTTATAGATAAATGACTGCACCATTCACTGACACTATTCACTCTAGATTGGAATAGTTCTTCGTAAGTAGTTTCAGAATAAGACTAATAATGGTTTGGAATATAAATATAACGATTAGTAGGGAAAATATATTCGATTGCATATTTAAGCACTATATATTCGAATTTTTAAAAAAAACTTTTTTTAAATAGAAAAAGCTCTTACGATAATCGAGATAGGAATCTTTTACAGTTTACATAATTCGATCGTGATAATGTCAAAAACAGTCACATGAGCAGTTCTCAAAGCGTACGCTTAACAATAATGGATTTACCAGGAATTTTGTGGAGATTTTTTTTAGAAATTTCAGTAGTTGAAATTATGAGTCAATTGAAACTAGACCACCATGGGAAACCTGGAAACACTGGACAGCCGTTTAGTTATAGTATAGGACTCCTCAGCAGTGAGCATCCAAGATCCCACTCCCCGCGAGATTTGAGCCCAGGACCTGTCAGTCTCGCATGTGAACGGTGTTAATGTCTAACGCATTAACACCGTTGGATGCCTGCTCAGTGGTCTAGAGGTTAAGCGTTCACATGCGAGACTGACAGGTCCTAAGTTCCATGGTGGTCTAGCTTCAATTGACTCATGATTTCAACTATTGAAATAATAGATTTAGTTTTATCAAAAATTCACTAGAATTTACAGTTATCCGGAAAATGTTCCATGAAACATGCAAGGATAAATGAAATTTAAGTTTAGGCTGTTGTCCCGGAAACGACTTAAAACAATACGTAACGACAGTACTTTATGGATCTTATTTATTTTTGAGTACGCTGCAGATGATTTGATAACCAAACAGTATAGCTTTACAGAAGGTAAAAAATGAGACAGCTTAGTCACAAATAAATCAGGTAAGCAAGAAGGTGTAGTCTTAATAGATTGCTTTAACAAACTGGATATGATTTAAAGTGTTTTGGCTTAGTTCCAAAAACTTGGCGACCATAAGGAGATAAATGAAACTGGAAAGAAACCGCCGACTGACTAGCTCAGAGAACTAAAATGGGAAGGAATAATTTTACTGGTCATTTGATTTACATGAATAATACACGTCTGAATTAATAATTGGATATATATTCGAGTGAATGGTTTGCACTAACCTCATTTTCATGATCTACAGAGATAAATTCATGAGAAAAATATTTTAATAATTAGTACGAGGGGATAAATACAAACATTTTGTTCAAATTAGCCAATGTCATACACTGGAAACAATCAAAACTTTTATTTCTATGTCTTATAAACCATGGTGTAATATAAATAGATGAATTTATGGTTTTTAGTGGTATCACGAGCCGACCTAAGTTAGACATCCATTGAAAACTAGGAAGCACTAGACAGATGTCTCGTCCTATCCTCAGCGGTGTGCATCCACGACTCTATTGAGGGTTGAGCCTAGAAACTTCGGTTTCGCAGCAAACGTCTATTCTATAGAACACTCTCTGCTGAAACATTCCCTTTTTTCAAGATGATCATATCGATCGCTCAAATTTGTTTGTATAGCTAAACATGGCCAAATATTGCCATTGAATTATTCATAATAAAGCATAGGATAAATAAGATTGACTTGATCTTTTCGTATATAAGAAGTCAGTATATATAAAGATGCATTCAGAACGAATCTCTCATGAATTGACCAGTTCGATAGAAAAAACAGTTAGGAGAGGATGATGTGGATTTAAAGTACCGATGATACGATAATTTAAAACAGCTATCATCATAGACTAACTTGACAGTGCAAAATAAACTCGTCCGATAATTACGCAGTACTTATTCACTGCCTTCCGATCCATATAATTAAATAGATACTAATTTTAAATTATTATTATTGTTACTATCATTATTATTATTGTCATTATTATTATATCCCAGTTACTTCTACACAACAATATAAAAAGTTTCCAAAAGTAGTACTTGTAATATACCTGAATACCAGGATGCTCCGAATCAACAAACGGTCCAAGCAGGATGAGAACATGGGGTTTAGATTGTTTGACGGAACGCAATAAATTAAAAAGGCCTGTAGGGTCATGTGAATTTGAAAGAGTATAAGGGCCACAGGCCACCATAATATGCAGGTTTCCCACTACAAAAGTAAGTTTAGCGGATGTGAAAAACATGAGGTTGCAGTGTACAATGAAGTGAAGTTGTAGTTAGATTACAGTTATTATGATCGAAACAAGTGTCACATAATTATCAAGGTCATGTGTTGACTCATTATAGTCATCACAGATTTATTCGCTTATCATCCTTAGTGTACGATGAATCAAATATTGATT